GGAAGGAGGATGCAGAACCGATGGGAAGAAGGAAAGAAAGAACCCTCTTTGTGGGAGCTGGATTGGGGAGTGTCGGCGTCGAGGGAGAACGCTAAAACGGTGTTTGCGAAAGATTCGAACGGGTTAAATACCCAGGGGCGCGGCTTCCAAAGGGCTGGTTACTCTCGTCGTTGGGGACATGAAAAGAATTCGAACGACTGTGGAAACATCGCTACGTGAACGAGCTTCCTTGAGGAATCCGCTTGGCGCTACATATTTAATCTTTCAAGGACGGCGCAAGTTTTTCGTTTCTTCCCATTTGGCCGACGGTATGTGGCATCAAATACATTATTATAATCTGTTAATGAACCAAATTTTTAGATATTTTTCGTAGATGTATTTAACACTTTGACTGTCACGTCACCCAAATTTGGGTGACACGGGCATTGCAAAGAGAATGCGATTTTTTTTTTCGAAAGACGTTCTCGAAAAGCGTACGCGAAGAAAATTGGAGGCAGCACAGTCCCCGAGGGGGAAGGATCGCGAGCAGAATTCTTTTAAACGGCCAGGGATATGGTAAGGGTATTTGCGAGTAAATCGGAGGGAAGTGAGCACGAGGAGTAGCAGTTCCCTCGGCGTAGGGTTCACGGCAGTAGGTCGACAGCAGCGTAAGTTGGTGGCAGAATTGCCAGGCGGAATAGAAAGGATCCGTGAACGTCGTAAAATTGATATTTATCCTGGCAGATATCCAGATTCGAAACGATGCCAACTCAGCTACGGATAAAACTTCGTCCCCGACGAAATACCGTGGGTAATTATCGTCTCAACGGAGTCACTTTTTTTTTCTCCACTCATCCCCTCCCCACCCCTCCGAGTTCTCGTTCTTCCGTCACCGTAATTACCAGGGTCGAGAGATTGAAAGAGGGCGCGCGATTCGCGGACTCGCGACTCGAGGTCGCGACTGTTCGTCCGAAATTGACTCGGCGTCAAGAGACCAGACAGTCGAATAACCCGGCCGAATGGGAAACTCGAGCATGCAAATGCGAGGAAAGCCAGGAGGCATTCGTTTCAGCGATCGATAATTTTTCGCTTTGTTCGTGCTGCAACGCCGAAAGATATTCGTTCGAATATATGTACGTGCATAACGTACAAAAGCTCAAGGTTTTCTCCGGGTTTTCATGCATCGTTGGTCCAGCTTTGAAAACAATGTTCGAGAGGATAAATCAGCCCACGACGTTAATTTTCTTCTCGTACGATTCTGAAGCGGAATCGGAACCGAATCTGATCGAAACTAGTCGCGCGATTCGTTCTAAACTAAAAAATAGTACTACTGATCCCTCGATAAAAAAAATAATAATAGTGATAATAATGATAATATTTATTTTACCTGGAAAATTTCTTTGATATAAAGATAGTATAAATATGAAGAAGGACACGAGAAGAAAAGGTGATACAAAAAAAAATTAAAAAGAAATACACTAACAATGGTGAAAATATAATTGAAAGTAAACATGCAAACTTACTTTTGGTATATTATTCCAATGGGATAGTCGTATTAGGAAAACCGCTTACTGCTGCGTGTTGGCGACGGTGGGGTATAGGTGGGATTTGTGTAAAAAGATGGGAGGGGAGGACTGTTAGTCGATTGACATTTCTTTTATAAACGTTGTTACGTTTGTCTCTGGTCTCCCCTACTGAAAAGGATATTATGATTAACCGTATTGAATGCTCTTTTTTAAAGTCGGTACAGATGGAGTCGACTAGGTCTCCATTTTGTAAATGTAATTATGATAAATTAATAAGTTAGTTGAAACAGAACGTTCAGCCACAATCTTGTTCGTCGACGACAATATTTTCCAGTAGTAGTATTAATTTTAGTTTTTCGCATAGGTAGTCGAAGAGGAACGTAATTCTCTAAAGTCCCCTCGATTGGATCACACGAGTACCACGTCGTCGAAGGGTGGCCCCGTTCAGCCACCCTTAGCAGGGATGTGTCGAAAACGGGCTGCGTGAATTCCATCGTCCGCTTCGATGATCGCGTGCTCCACTGTGAAATCATTGAATACTGTAGTTCCTGGTATGTACTCATCGTTTCGTATTATCGTTCGGTAACACTTTATTCACCGGTAGCCTATTAATAGGATTTTAAATTTCAGTGTTAATACATAAGAAACCTACTAATATTACCCTTGAATCAGGATTACACAAGAAATTCTCACGTCATTCTATTAGAGTTACTGCTATTTTCTATGAACGTGATTTTCTACTGTGATTGAACTGCTTAATTCCGTGGCTATTGGTCGTTGGATCTCCCGAACCTATTAAACAGCAATCAGTAGACAATCTGTAAAATATAATATCAGTCGTGGATTTAGACTTTCGCGAATCCAACTGGAGAATCGCTTCTCTATCCGCTGGTTAGGAATCTCCGGTGCGTTGTTCTTCGTGTACGAGGGAAGAATACAAGCCCAGTGATTGGAGGCGACGACGTGCCATGGACCGTTCGCGTCGATATTCTCTCGGGATAGGTCGTATCGGATTGACAGAGAGAACAGCCACGGGGAAGCACCCCTTTCGACTACGGCCCTGCAACGTGTCCGCCCAATAAGGGTGCGTATTCAACGGCGCTCAGTCTCGGTCGAACAGCCGGTGGGGCAGGACTGGTTGTTCCTTCGTTTATCCGTTTTTTCCGACAGTCACAATTATTCTCGCGTGCCGGCTCGATGTCATTATCATCGCGCAAGAGGTGCTGCGCGAGGTTCTTCTCGTTTCGTTGCTCGAATTCGGTTTTCGCCGCGTATTCTCAAACAGGCGTGTGACGCCGGCGACCACGGGTACAAGTAAATACACACAGATTCACGTTTGAGCTTTTCGAGACGCGTCGTGCTCGAGATCATCGGATTCCATTTCACGGACGGACGACTCGAAGCCGATGGGGGATGACGTTCGATGGAGAAACAGGTAGGAGTAAAGAACAGTGCTCGTTCGAGATCGATTTCTTCCGTTTGTTCTCGTTGATCAGTCCTTTGAATTAACGATGTGATATCTGTCAGTTAGAAAACTAGCCAGCCAATTTAAAAGAAGACCATTGAAGCCAAGTGCATTCACAGTCTACTGACAAGGATATTATGGGCAACACGTTGACAGCATTTCTTTGCTTTCTCTCGCGAACACTTGTTTACTTACTTGGCGTGTCGCGATAACACCTCGAAATCATCGTTATAGGAGGTTAGAAACGTGTCATCGGTAGTTCAGGGTATGTGAGACAGTTTCGATTCGGTAGGCATGGAAATCGTGAAAGCGAAACCTGCTGTTTCGTCGATCCATGAATATTTACGTTTCCCTTCGGAGAAACCAAAGTATACAGAGGTAGGTTGAAACACGGACGTTTTTGAATTTTTATTGTGATTGTACGTGCGGTACGATTACCATGCTGGTCGAAACCGGCTGCTCTCGCGCGTTCCGTCACGGTCCAACCGTGGGAGTTGCATAACCTATAAACTTTCGAAATTGCGCTAGCCAGACGCTTGAACCGGTACGAAAATAAACCTTGGGAAGTAAACAAAGATTCAGGAACATGGATTTGAAATAAAAAAACGATTCGATCGTTGGAATGAACAGAATGAAGGACCCTTGTTCGAATCCTTGCATCTGACTCTACGTATTTACTACACATGTGTATTTCATTTTTTGCGACGACACATGACGAGACGTGATGAAACGTGGTGAACAGTGACGAACCAATACGGTGCCTGCTGCGAACGCAAAGCTGAAATCGCCTCGTGTACCGATCTTGCCGATCACCCCTGTGTCGGTCAAGAAAGTATTCCACTTAAAAACATTTAATTTAATAATTTTATATTTATAATTTACATTTCTGTGCCTAATAATCATTCATTGTTAGACAGTCAATTACTGGTTTGTTTACCTTATAATGTGTTCGCAAGTAGACAGTCGTTTCGGGTGAAGAGCGGGTAGAGTGCAGGTGCACCCAGTCCGCACCGTGATCTTCGATTCTTTCTTATCCGCGATGAAATTTCTGTGATCGCATTGCGTCTTGTCTCGTGACAAGACAAGATACGCTCGATAACGATTCACGGATACATCGAAATTATCCGACGGAGGAGCCGGAAGAAATTTTCCTCGCTAAAGAAAAGGAGAGTGAAAGGAGAGAAAGGCAACAGGGGATATCGTTCGATAACGCGGCAGCCGCGATACCGACAACGGTTCGTCGAAGGCTTGCGATTAGTCTACTCGGAAATCAAAGTTGACGAACGAAAGAATGCGAACTGTTGCCCCTTCGTAACTGGAACCGCCTACTCGTTCATCCTTTGGACCCGTATCTCGATCGAAATGTTCGCTTCGCCAAGCATCGTCGGACCACAAATTCACGAATCGACTATAGTTTATTTATTTGTTTATTTAATATGTAAACAGGCATAGCCCTTTGGTACAATGAATTACATATGTATTGCGTAGGAAAGCAGAGGTGCTAGTTGTTTTGCAATTGTCAATAAGGGGGTGTGGGGGGGGGGGGGGGGGGGGGGGGGGGGGGGGGGGGGGGGGGGGGTGGGGTGGTGCTTTTAACGGAATTTGCGCTGGTGTTAAATTTTTTATAAATTTTGTTATATCCGAAAGTACTATCTCGAAAACCAGAGAAGATACATGAAAACTTCTAATGGATAAGGTTTGCGGTTTTTTATTTAGAATAATATGGTGCTAATAAATTGTCCAAAATATCATTTGTTTATAACAAAACAATTTCGGATCAAAACTGCAAGGGGTGGTGTCACCCCTGAAAGTCGCGTTTCAGCTGATAAAAAAAATACGTATCCCTTATTTTTTACTGCTTAACAGATATACGAAGTTTCATCAAAATCGAAGGGGGGCACTTCCGTGCCTTCCCTTGCGAGTACGGGCTGCGATACGCGCGTCACGTCGAGGGTGGATCATCCGAATTAGTAGTTATGAGGGAGGGTGCGTGGACGACCAGAGAAAGAGGCAATGCAGTTTGCTAATTCCCTAGACGTATTTTGATTAATGTTTCGTTCGAATTGACGAGTAAGTCGGCGGTGGTGCTGCGAAACGATGCGTTCTCCCCGATTCACGAGAATCGGGGGCCACTTCTTCGTCGCCTAAACCGTTGGCCGGATGCCAGAGGCCAGGCCTTCGCGACGTTTCTCGTCGCGTTTCTACCGATTCCGCGAAAGTTCACCAACGAAACTTTCTTAATTTCGTCTCGTTCCCGGGTCAGAAACTCGACACGCCGATAAAAATAACTACGACGTTCTTCTTACATTGCGCTGTTCGCGACTTCGTCCGGGGGAGCAAGAATTCTTCGACGTCGCGTCGACCGTTCGCCAATCACGGCGATCAGGTTCGTCCGATTCCCGGGGCTATGAAGACGGTTCGTTTAATTGAAGAGTAGCTTTTTTCCCGCGGCTTCGATCACGTGGATATATATCGTATCATGTGTATTGTTAAATTTATCCCCGTTTATTCGGATTTCGCCCCTTGGAGATGGAATTTCGAAAAGTTTCGAAATTACATTTCAGGCGTTTGAATAAGTAGCGTTTTAAAGTAAAAAGTAGTGGGATATCTTGTCGGGACTAAGAGATACTAAAGATTCCCAGAAAATACATTTTACCCCCTTTCATTCCTTTAGGGGTTCCTAAAGGGGAAGCTATCCCTAAAATTTCATGTTCCTAAGTTCAGCGGCTTGGGTTGTGCGTTAATATGTCAGTCAGGACTTCTCCTTTCATGTACATATAGAGATTCATTTATATGACGCGCAACATCCTCGTTCGAATTCCGACGGGTAGCGGCCCATTGTTCGACCGGCAGTCGATGAAAAGGAACGGTCGTCGATGACGTGTGAAGACAAGAACGGAACACTACAACGGACTGAAAAATAGTTGCCGCGGAATATTAGTATTTCTTAACAATTTTTATCTTAAAAAATTGCTCCTGATTTGCACCCTCAGAATCTAAAATTACTCTCATCGCAAATATTATACATCGGTGCGGTTACGAGAAAATCGCGGAAGAAATGAGCAGGAACTACTTCCGAAACGTAAAATATCGGTATTTTCGGTTGAACCTGAATGCCCTGTATAACTCTATACAAGCCCTATCCTTATAGAAACCAAAAAAATACCGGTATTTATTTCGGTTTTCGGTAATATATCGGTATAGCTTTGATGGCATAATACCGGTTTCAAAATCATACTGGTTTAAGTTCCTAGAAACTAATTTGCTCGTGTGACAATATCGAGCGAGGAAAATTCTGTTCATTCGGGTTCTCGCGCGCAATTGCATTAAAAACTACACGGACTGAAACAGGGGTCTATAAATTTCACGTGTATTTTTTAAATACACGTTCCAAACCATGATCTCTAGTTTGGATCGTCTAAATCGACCGAATCGTCCCGTAGATCTCCCGGTTGGCTGGGTGCGAGAGCTCGGATAGTTGCTATGACGACCACCGCAGCCACCCAGCGGTGCTCGATCGAACCCTTTCGCCATCCCTAACCTCGTGGGTAGCGCCTCTCTTTCTCTCTCTCTCATTATTTTCCGAGTAACCGAGGCATTCTGTCTGGCAAGCTGCTTTGTAAAATCCGTGGCGGTATTCTCGCCCCGTAAGATGCATCCTATCTTTTCTAAAGCGTACCGCGCGTCAATGTTTACCAAATGTTGACGAGCACTACACGTTACTTCGATCCTATCTGGAAGAAGCGTATCTCGAGAAAATCCCTTTTTTTTCCACGCCGAGCGAAGTTCTTCTTGCGTTTGCATTCGCGCTCGCAGTTCAGAGGGAAACTGAGCGTTTCCGTTTATCTCATCCTGTACATTGCCGGCGGTGGTTACCGACTCGGCGTGTGCCGAGAGATAGGGTCCCGTTGAAATCTGGGTCGAGGGGAGATCCGACTGAAATGCAGCGAAAACGCAAATGTCGAAACGTCGAGAGCGCGAAAACGTGTCCTTGCCTTCTTTCACCTTCCGATGAAATATGAAAACTCGTATCATCGCTCGATGAAACGTCGACGAATGTGCTCTGTCATCTTGTGATCCCTTGCGAATTTGTACCCAGATAGCACATGATGCCTTGAAAACGCCCATTTTACTGCTATTTTAGGTCTAAGACGCGTTTACGCCGACTTCAAGACGTCATTAGGCGTCGTGTGCTATAGGGGTAGTATGTATTATACAATGCATTTAATATTTATACAATTAATTTAATACTTGCAAGATTCGAGAGGTGTCGGGAATCAGAACAGTGGTGGGAGGCGGCGATTTCATCGTCGGAAGTGCCGCGGGTGTTTCAATTCCCGGAAATAGAGGTGCCAACCTGCTATCCGTTGCACCCGTCTGGATTGGTTACGTGTGTGTCGGTACATGTCTATATGTTTGCGTTGTAGGTAGGGGTGGCGTTGCGTGGCATCGCGTGGTGTGGCGCGGTCAATTCGCCCGTTTACTGTTTTAATAATAGTAATTTCTTTCCAAGCGACAAAAACCCATTGAGTTACAAAAACATTATATTACACAAGTGACAGGTCTACAAAGATACATTTGTAAAGAGTATACATATATGAATAGTTCTACTTCATTATACAGGGTGTCCCAAAGTAATTGTTAGTCCTTGAAAAGGGTGATTCCCGGGGTGAATTGAAACAAGTTTGTCCTTAGCGAAAAAGTTCTTCGAGGCTTTAGTAACGAAATATTAACGGAAAACCTCGACCAATCAGAGCGCGAGTCTGTCGGCTGAGGTCCTGCGGTAACGTTGGCCACGCGCTACCGCGGGAGACACGCGCTCTGATTGGTCGAGGTTTTTCGTTAATATCTCGTTAACAAAGCCTCGGTGTGAGCTTTCCATCGATCTTACGAGGGACGATAAATCGCGAGCAAAATTCCTTTTGGCAACAAATCAACATATCCCGTTCTTGTTTCGTTCTTGCAGATCCAGTGGCTCGCGTCGACGAGGAACGACGCGATGCGAATCGGCGACGCGACAATTTTGGACGTTAACCGGCGAAAAAGTGGAGACGTAAATGCGAACGACGAGCCAGCGGGACAAGTGGGGAGTTTGCGAACTTCGAATCGAAACCATCTCCGGGCCAGAAATAATCGGAAGCCGGTCTGGTAACATTGTTTCTGGGATTTGTCGACGCATTGCCGTTCCGTTGGACGAATCGCGTGCAACATGTTCGGGACGAAACTACGCACGTGGATGGAGGCGCATATCGTCCGATCGAAAAAGAAAAAGGACAGGAAGAAGGGCGAAAAAGGATTCGACTCGAACTGCAACTCTCCGAGAAACCAAAGCGCAAACAGATCTCCCGGTTTGCACCAGGTGAGTAGAACGTGTCTCTGGAATCACAGGGGTCAGACGGAGGAGGGAGAAACCAGCCCCGTATCAGGCTGAGGGGGGGGGAGTCTAAGGGGGACTGGATCGCCGGGTCCCGTTCTGAACCTTCCATTACGCTATTGATTAAATGTTATTTAATTTTATTTAAAATAAATATCAATTTTTATAACGGATTACACCGCGACTACGGGCGTCCCCGTCCACTTAATTTTCTTTCAAATAAATTTCAATTTTTTAAGATTTATGTATTTTCTTATGCTGTATTACAAAAAAATCCCCCCTTGCTCGCTGTTCAACGAAGGGATCCCCGAAAGTCATATAGCCCTAGGCTACAAGAAAACTGCAGGAACACGAGCAACGGAAGAAAAAGCTGCGCTCGACCCGCGTCTTCTAGTCTTTTTCCTCGTTTTATTCACTCGAGCGGCGGCGGTCTCGTTTTCCTCTACGTGGTCGTCATGGCTATCCAATTAGGCAACACTGGCCCCGTTGCTCTTCTCTGCCTTCGTCTCCTCCACTTGCGCAGCTACTTATCCCCCCGCGGAAAAGCCGGCTCGAAGGCTCTCGAGAATTCGCTCATCGGGCAGCGACGTCGATTCTTTGGCCACGTACCAGTATTATACCATGGCAACGACGATGATAACGATAACAAGAGCGACGGGGATTGAAATTGCAGGTACATCCGGCAGAATCGCCAGGGAAAACCGTGGACGGGATTCGATTGCACGGCAGCGGTAGCTACGTGAGTGCGTCAGCCTCTTCCGGAGCGTCAGCCGGCACTGGAAGCGTGAATCTCTCCTCTCCGGAAAGCGCCTACAGTACCGGATACTCGACGGACGGCACGTCACCCGGGACCAGTTACCCGCCGGAATATTACATCAACATCAGGACCGGGACGCATTATTTTCAGAGCAGCGGGAACAACGGCAGACCGAAGAGGCCAACGGACGGAGGAGCGGATTACCCAGCGGCGACGGGCGTTACCAGCGTTGTCGTCCCCGTCCACGCCGGACATGGAATCCTCGAAGCGGCGGCTTGCCTCGCAAACATGACCAGAAACGAAGACCGATCGAAAAACGTTCGGAAAACCGAGGCTCCTAGCAAGGCATGTAACCCGACCGCGATTGCGTCCGATCCTATTCTTCCTATTTTATCTTTCGCTTTTCGTACCGCGTCTCTGCGTTTTCACGCGCTCTACAGGGTGTAAGAAAAATGTAGGTCCCTGAAATGGGATACTCGTAAGGTGATTTGGAACAAGATTTTCCTTGGCAGAAATGTTATCAGAGGCCCTGTCAGCGAGATATTAACGAAATAATACATACATTTATGCTAAGGAAGAATGTGTTCCAAATCACCTCACAAGTGACCCATTTCAGGGACCTACGACACTTTTGTTACACGTTGTGTAAGTCTTTTGCGCGGGCTTTCTCTAAACGAGCAGATCGGCGAACGTCCGGGAACCGAAGAGTCGAGGGAGGAGCGGTCGCAGCGGGCACACGCGCACGCACACGCCCAACCGGACAGGTACCATACACGGACCACCACCGAGTCGTTCTCTGCCGATTCGTCGAGTAGCAACCTCACTGTACCGTCCTCGATACCACCGCCATTGGTTTCATCCTCGGTCCAATCGCCCCGGGAACGTTCCCGCATCCGGACCAATCCCTGGCTCTCCGCCAACTCATCCGGACCCTGCAACGCCGGCTTCAGGTCCAGACTGAATCTGGACGATCCGAATACTGGATCGGGCCTGAAGCTCGGGGAATCCTACGGAAGCGCCAGCGACGTGAACGGGACGCGAGAAGGACGCGCAAGCAAGGAAGTGAAGCAGGAAAGTCTTAGCGCCGGAAGAAGTCCGTTAGTACCGTTTCCTTGGATCTATGATTCGCGTTTGATTCGTCTGTGTCGATTCACACGGCCTCCGAAACCTGTCGAGGGGGAAGCACGAGCGAGTTTCTTTCAGCTTTATTTCGTACAGAATTCCCGCGGTAGCGTTGGCTACCAATCACAGCGCGGAAGCTCGGTCGGCAGACTCGCGATTGGTCGGTGTTTTTCTTTAATATCTACTTAACAAAACCTCGGAGAATGTTTTCGCTAACGAAAAAATAGTTTCAAATCATCCCAGGAACCTTTCATTTCCGGGAGTCGAAGCTATTTCGGGACACCCTGTATATGCGCATAGCGACATTAACGAAACTCGCTCTCTCGCGTTCCCCTCCGGTTTCCGGCCAAGCCTAATCCAACTTTCCTCGCGTAGAATAAACCAAAACTGGAGGATCGCCTCTGGTATGGAGATACGATCGAAGATGGCCCTGTTGATGCAACGACGGAGCAACAGTAGCAGTAGCAGCCGAAGCAGCACCAGCAATACCGATAGCTTCAGCGGTGGCGAGGCTAGCAGCGACTGCAACGGTAACGAAAACAAACATGGGAACGAAAACGACATATTACCCTAAACGAGATGATGGGTAAATTCGACGAGAGTTACATCTACGAAAAAGAGACGGACATTTTGTCCGACAGCGATCCAACCGATTGCGAGGAGTGTATAGACTCGTTGTCCGACGTCGAGGCAGCCCGCGACGCCGGCGACGAGAACGATCCGTTGGAGAACAACGAGTTCGATTACATCGACAACGGTTCGTTCCTCGGCCTCGACAATCTCGACTGTTCCGGCCGGTTCCCCAACACCGGACATTGTACGTATTTCGCGTTCACCGGCGAGGTCGCCAGACGGACCAGTAAACTACGGGAATCGTTGTCGAGGCGCAGAAACAAAGAGGACGTAGCTACGATACAGAGGTAATGCGTACGATGGAAGGACACATCCCTCCTTTTTCCGGCATCGGTTTCAACGAATCACCCGCGGACGATTCCTGTCTGTTCGCAGAATGGCCAGCGCGAAGACCGTCTCCGCGAAACGACAAAGCGGTCGGCACAAGAGGCCCGAGGAGAAGAGCGAGAAACGCAAGAAACGGGTCTCGCAACGACGGAAATCGACCGTGGACAAGTGCGACGACGAGACGGCGAATCTGAATCGCGCGCTGCTAGAGCGTATGCTGCTGAAGAACTCGGGCTTCAATCAGCAGGGCAGCAGAAGTGTCGGCGGCACCCCCATATGCCTGCGTCGTCAGCGGCACGATGTCAACAAGAATCTGTCACCGATCAGGCTGAACGAGGAGAGGTCAATAATAGGTCATACGATGGGCGTCGATACCGAGATCGTGAAGAGGCGTTCGAATTCGGTAAGCGTGTGCACGTGTGCGCGTTCCCGCGACCTCGGGACTCTTTTGCCATCAGGTCTCTCCTCGTTGTTCCTTCCTTTTCTTCACTCTTCGCTGTCCGATGCGCGCGTAAACTATCCTCTTCGTATGCGAAGAACAGGTTTCGAGGAATCGCACGGACAAACGGCGCACCGCGACCGATTCCGTTTCGAAATTTCTCATTTCCCACGGTCATCTAATTATCACGTTTTTTTTTCTCGGTCCCCAAAAGGTGAGCTACGTGAACGGCAACATCGTCGGACGAAGGACAGGGTCGTCGGGCAATGGCTACGTGACCACGTTCGCGTCCGAGATCGCTCTGATCGAGGCGGATAAAGAGGCGGACAAGAAGTATCGCGAGCTGATCCTCGAAGCCGAGAATATACTGGTGAACATGCAGCAGACGACACGGAATTGCTCGTTGCCCGTGGTCCCGTCGCCGACGCGGAAATTCCACAACGGTCTGGCCAACAAACGCGTCGAACTGATCAAGAATACCGAACTGAACATCGAGCTTGCCCTCTCCAAAAGCCGAAACTCTCAGCCGGAGCTGCAGAGCGGCAGTATTCGCGACCTGGAGCACACCAGTCCCAAGAGACAGTTCGGCCAACCCTGTTCCCCTATTCGTAGATTCGCGGAGAGGAACGCGACTGGCGCGCTTCTACAGAAGGAGAACTGTTACAGGTCGGAAGCGCCAATGAAATATTTGCCCGGTGACTCCCCGATCGCGGCGAGAAGAACGCCGCCCCTCCATTCGCCCGGTAAAACTCTACTTCGATCTCCTTGTCCAGCGAGACGAGAGCAAGAGAACAACGGATCACCGCGACCTCCAACTGTAATCTACAACGGGATCCGACGAGTTCACCTCGACACGGAGCAACTACCTGCTACGACGACGATGCGATCCGAGGTTCGTTATCATAACAGCAGCCCTCGCGCTGCTGTGTTACCGCGACGGGACATCCTCGGGTGGGACGGGAATGACGTTTGTGTCTCGAAGCTGGCGACCAAGGAGGAAGGCGTCACGTCCAGTTCCTCGGATTCGGAGGAAAGGTGCGACGTTAGAAGACGACCGCCTTTGATGACCTTCAGGTTAGCTGGTCCCCGATAAAATTCGAGGGGAAACAACTTATAGACTCTTCTGGAATATTGTCTGGCTTGTTCTACACGATTATTGTCCAAGCGTTATCCCCATCACTGGGGAGGGGGGCGTGGAACCTGCCAAACGCATACGAATTTATTAAAAACGCATTTACGAGGGTCTGAAGCATTTCTCCCTATTCGATTATTGTCCCGGCGCGGACTCGAGTTCGGGACAATAATCGAGCGGAGGCTATACGACGGGCAAAAGCAGTCCCTCTACGTTTTCGGTTCTCTCGCAGGTCGATCGATATGGTCCCGACGAAACAGGGATCCCCTTCCTACTGTCCGCAGAGCGAGCCGGTCAAGAGGAAAGTGTACGCAGGTAGTGTGACTTACGGGAGAATACAGAAAACTTTGGGGGAACACGTTGCTCTGAGAAATTCAGACGGTGACACCGCGACTGACGACACCGGTAAGTTCGCGTTCGATTCGACCACCGACGAGGTGTAAGAATAGACCGTTCATCTTATGGGGGCCCACCTGTACTCTGTAGTACGGACAACTTAAACAGCCTGCGATTTTAGTGACATCTACGTTATGAAAACGGTGAATTTACGGTGGGTAGTGACACGGCCAACTCTAGCACAGGCCGGAACATAGTAAATTTGGCAATGTTGTCATCAGTCTTATGAGAATTAATTAAAATATCTATTCTTATACCTCGTCGGGGATTCGACCTTCGACCACAGATCCATTCGAATACCACAATTTTGATTCTAATGAACGGCTTTCGAGCGCAGACGACTCGAGAAAATCGTTGAAAGAGAAGGTGGCCCAGCTTCGTCGGGAACGATCGCTCGCTGCGGAGGCTCAAGATTCCCGAATGTTTCAGCAGCAAATGTCGCAACTCCGGAGACAAATGCTGATGCACACGATAGAGGGCTTGAAACGAAGCCTCGAAGATCAATCGGCGACCCTGAAACAGACATGCTTGGATCCGGTAATGTCCGACCAGTTACCATGAATCGAGAAGAACTAGAAGAAAACTCGTGGAACGCTTTCGCGTCGCGTGATGAACAAATGAATCTCGGAGGACTACGCGGCACGGGGGCCGTTTTTTGAACCTTTACGAATCGCATCGGTCCCGTTTCATTGGTGCGTGCCAATTCAGCCAACAAAACTTCTATTGTTAGTGTGTCACACACCGAAAGAAACTTGATGCACGATGCATCCGATTTTCGAACCCTTTCCTTTAGGAGGCAATCGATATATATATATATTTTTCTGCCTGTCTACACACGGTAAGAGAATCAAAATTAGGAACGTCTCATATTTTCTGGGCATTGTTCACCGCGTTCTTCGTTCGACGCACAGAAACCGTTCAATCTTCGCGCCCTTGTACGCTCTTCAGTTACGTTCGCGCGCGCGCGTTCGAGACTATCAACACCGAATACTCACAACTCCAGAAAAATAGTTATAGCTGCTTCAAAGATATAGCGTTTAGCCATAAACATGGCCGACCCTTAAACCATTAGTACTCGATCATCGGGGGCCCATTGTATTCCACCGCACTCAGGATCGCACGATACTTATGGGGTTCCAAGGAATAAAACCAAAAGAACTGAAATATTTGAAAGAAATTTCGGGGTCGTAAGCTGTCATTAAGAATAAAAAGGCCAGAAGTATTTTAAATTTTAAATTAGCACACTACAAGAACTTGTTTAATTACATTAATACAGAAAACCCGATCCCAAATTGACATCGTATGCCCCTGAACGACAGTCAAGCACAGTTTTTACAACTCAAGGGTATAGAATGACAGGATTAGGCTACCGAAACACATAAACCTTAGGGTCGGTCAGGTTTATGGCTAATGCTGTTTTTTGTAAGCAGCTATACATTTTACTGCGAAGAGGACAGGCCAATAGAAACCGTGAGGCGCGTCGAACAAGGACGAACCGCAGATTTTTTTTTTCTTTTACGTCGCGGCGAACGGGTGACATTTTTCACAGCAAAAGTACAGCGTTGTTCGACGTTTAACGCGTGTTACGTACTTTCAATGTTCCTATTTCTACTCGTACTTCCGAAAATGGAGACATTAGCAGCAACGGATCAAAGCCGAATGTTGCCGTTGTTGTGTCGGTACCACCGACCAAACGAACGAACGAACGAACGAACTTTTCCTGTTAGTATACCAAAGATAATAGACTAGCAAGGTAGCGTAGGAACCGTTTAGTTGATCCAACACTAAAACCAGGAATACGCATTCGTAAAGTTAGAGAACACATTAGAAGATTTTTCCTTCAAGCTTCGTAGCGGACTTGGCCGATATATTGGAGTTGAGAAACAACAATTCGCAACAGACTCGACCTCGCTGGGCACCAATCCATTTTACATGTCGTCGCACTGTGGTTTCCTTTGCGAATGAACCCCAAAACGATAGGTGCCCGCCTGATTCCAGAGTTCGAGGAGGACATGTCATTACGCGCACGCAACTGTCCAACTGCGGTGAATACTTTTGCTAAAACAGACTGATAAACGTTCACGAATGTTGTCTCTCATTAAGCTACGTCCCCGTTATGCCGATCGACCTGTTTTGTGTCCCAATTTTACGACGCTGCCTGTTGGCACATGTCGATGACATATCCCCATATGGTCGGTTCTGCCGACAGGCATAATGGGAACGCACCTTTAAGCTCCTGTATTCGGCGATTATTGCTACACATGTGATTTATACGTTGATAGTTGTTTCCAAGCAACAGACGGTAACGCGCACACGATATTTATTTGTGTTAGATGTTAGGGGCCATAGTAAACTGAAATATTAGAGAATTATAGCGGTAGCGAGAGAATTAGTAACACATAGATAGCCGATTATCGACTATATACATAGAGTTTCGTGATTCATTTTTATCAGAATCGTCCCTTGTGATTTATTTCCGAGTTTCGTTGGAAACTGTGATCGTAAACGTCTTCAGCCGATGTTAGATTTTTACGCGTGTGTATCGTAACGCCTTCGAACCCGCCGAAAACGGGCTTCCTTCCGTTTCCACGGTGGCGCTACGGCGGCTCAGGTGAATTCATTCAGAATTTTTATACTCGTATGCGTGTACATACTTAGTTTTTGATCGACGATCGATGTTTTTATTATCGTGCGTAAACGCGATCACGATTATTGTGGTTTTCGTTACTTTTAGCCAATTATTATTGTATCGAGACATTCCGGTGGTGTAGAGGAGTGGGGTGGTAGCCAGGCTACGAAACGGAAAGCTTTGTCCAAAGAGTTCGAGGACTCGTCGAATCGTTGAACCAACTGCAATTTCACCATTTATTCCCTGCCGAGAAACAATGCTAGTCATCCCGGTTATTCGTACAGGGCAGGGGGTACGATCGGCAACTTGGACGGAATTTCAGGAGGCGCGGAATTATTGTTGCAATTTTCTCTGTACCAAACCATTTACGGAATTAAATGGTCCATTTTTTTTATATGATTACGAATAAATTATATTACGTCGTTGAAAACATCTGTCTGTCACATTTATTCAATTCGTGCGTGTTCCTCGATCCGTTGATCCTGACGCATCTACATACTGGCATTATAACGGTTATCTTTTCACCTAAAAATCGACGAGATAAATGTTACACTTTTAAATTAGACATTTACGACGTGTTGTACGGCTGTTGAGAAGCCAACTTACGATCTACCTGTCTATTATATTTCATCCCATTCCCCTTTTTTATTTGACTCTCTCAAACCTATGCTCGATTTCGTATATTGTTACAGGCTCTTTGATCTTATCGCAGTAGCCAGCCCATTCCCCTTCGGTCAGATCCACATCCGTGAATTCTGTTCCGTTGTTGACAGCTTTTGCGATCCATCCATTTCTCGGCGAAAAATCGCAAGGATCGAGACCTCGACAATCGTACACCGCTATGGTCTGAAACTCGTCTAGATCGCGCGCGACGTAAGGCTTTATGGAATCTTTCAAAATCATCATGGAATTTTCGCGGGCGCAGTGTTTGCATTTGCTTGTGAAGTGTTGGACGGCATGGCCTTTTTGGGCTGGAACAGTCTCGCTCAATAATACGTAGTTCCACTTTTCGGATGCTTCCCGACAATTGCAACAAGTAAACTTGAGATACCATCGAAATTCGTCTCCTGACGGTCTCAACTCTTCTATGTTCTCCATCGTAACCTTCACTTGCAACGCTATCTTTACCATTTTGATAGTGATTTATTCTTATTCGACGCAAAAAAAAGAATTGTTTAAACCGTATTAATGTGGCGGAAGGATTCTGTGTATTCGATTGATCGAGGGTAACAATCGTTGGAGCACTGACTTGAGGTTATACACGTTTGTCCACCTTCGTATGTTGATTCACAAACGAGAATGTAGCAAGCAGCGAAGTCGTTACACGTTTGCGGGCAATTAACGAGTATGTATTCTTTCGAATTAAACTAAATTCAAAATTACCCGAAATATCATAACATCGTAAACGACGGAAGCAAATAAGAGCTTCTCGAATCATCGACTAAAATTAGTATCAGAGCCCTCTCTCGTGTCGTGACATTCGCGCCTATATCGCCCACCAGAGTTGGGCACAATTTTATTCTTGAAAAGATTTGAACAGTTAATGAAATGAAATAATTGTTTGCCAAGTGTCTACTGATTCGAGAAGAAGTATTGTGTTATTGTAAGAATTGAAATTTTCACGGTTATGCTATTAAAAGTGACGATGACTCATGGTATTTTCGCCATCTCCGATAAACTTCCCGCCAATTTGACAATACATAACGCTAAGATTTATGAAATATCAGATTGATATTATCATTTAAATAGTGGATCAAATTTTTGTTAAACTTAGATTTGTGGATATTCTAAAAATTTTGCCAGCTAAGCTCGAGTTGGACGTTCTCGTAACGTAGAGGCCGTTAAAATCACAGGCTTTTTACGAAAGGTGTCGGTGTTACAGATTCTTTGGGCAGTTGGATCTATCTTTATTACCTTGTCTATGGTTTCACGACGTGATGAATAATTTATTTCACTGTTTACACGTTATTAGAGTCGCGGGTCGCTGCGATCGCATGTCGCGTGGAACGTGAAGTCGTTCCGTTAAGCTTATCGGTTTTCGATGGATATGAAAATACATGGATTTTGCTCGAAAACGTCAAGTATGAAACGAACGATTGCTCTGTATTTAATTAATGTATACATATCGTTAGCGTTTTGCAATGCTGAAGATATTCTAGGATGCGGAGGATTTTTGAAAAGTCATGCCGATATCGATTTTGCAAAAGTTCAGATAAAATTGTAAGTATTGTGATACGGAATTTGTAATCATTCGCACGGTTTACATGCAGGTTTCGAATGAATAGCAAGTCAAATAATGACTAAAACATTCGCTCGATTTAGGTACACAAAAGCTGGAAGTCTCAAGGATTCCACAGAGTGTGCTCCAAACAATGGATATTATTTTCTTCCTTTGTACGATAAAGGAGAGTATGTGCTAAAGGTAACACGAGACAATAATACAAAAATACTTTAAACAGCCTAGTCTTGAGAGTTAAGTTTGACATATTACATAACAAAACCAATTAGGTGGATCCACCCAGAGGATGGAGCTTTGACCCTATGGAAGTCTTATTGAACGTGGATGGAGCTACCGATGCTTGCAGTCAAGGCAAAGATATTAATTTTACCTTCAAAGGCTTTGGCATCACTGGCAGGGTAAATTGCAAAGATCTTGTATACCTGATATATTCGTGAAACTTTATCTTTGATCAAATCACATTTAAAACCAACAATTCAGAGGTGTCGATCCACCTGTGTGAACCATGACATGTACTTTTGTTTACATCCTATACCGGTACAGTTTATTGGTATTATGGGATTTTATGCTTCTTTCAGGTTAGTGGCTTGGGATCGCATATCGGACCCAAAGATGTGTCCGTTGCCTTGTATAATGAGGGTAGTGAGAAAGTTCCCGTTGGAACAACGACTACCGCGGAAGGAGGCACGTTTTATTTCACACCTGTACAGCCTGGAAATTACATACTAGTCGCGTCACATCCACGGTGAGTTTCGGCGAACGTTCGACTTTCCATTCCATTCCTAATATGTTGTATTGACGATTTTGCAGCTGGACAATGGAGAAGGACACTGTCAAAGTGACGGTGCGTGAAGGCAACACGGAGCTTCGGGACGATAGCCTAGTAGTTTTTGGGTACGATGTGAGCGGTCGAGTAACCAGTGAAGAAGAACCTGTTAGCGGCGTGACGTTTATCCTGTTTGGGGTACGAACTTGTATTTTCTTCTCGTCTCGATACAATCCTCGAGAGTCCAACTGTTCGATTATTAACCAGATCCGTTGCATTTAACGTTTGCGCAGACTGGAGCGGCCAAGAATTGCGCAACCACGACCATTAACAAAGAGCTTCTGTCCAAGAACCCGATTTGTCACGTTGTCTCGGACAAAACTGGCAAGTTCGTGTTTCCGAGCGTGTCAATCGGAGAATATAAATTAATCCCATACTACGCCGGTGGTCAAACCAAATTCGATGTTCAACCATCCGAGCTCTCGTTCAGAGTGGATGACAACAGCATCACATTGCGTCCAGGATTCAAAGTAACAGGCTTTACGGTGAGCGGATTCGTTCGTACGGCTATCGACGGAGATCCACTGCCGGGAGCGAAGATCTTATTGGCGCAAAAAGAAGTCACGACGACTGATGCGAACGGGAAGTATGTGCTGGACAACATGAAGGCTGGCCAGTATCTCGTGAAAGCAGAAGCTGGTACAAAATACTGAACTCGTATATTTCCCTTGATACTGTTGGATTGTAAGAATTGTTTTTAATCGCGTAATCGTTTCTTACATAGACAATGTACTTTTTACCGAAAAATCGGTCAAGATCTCGCCGAGTTCCTCAGAACTTCCGGTTTTAACACCGTCGGCCTATAAAGTTTGCGGGAAAGTCACGTTGTCGGCGAAAGGGACGTTACACCATCGAAAAGTTTCCGCGCAGAACACTGCCGCCACCTTCGATAAAGAAATCGAAACTGACCCGAAAACCGGAGAATTCTGTACCTATCTCGGGCGTGACAGATATCAGTTGAGCGTGGTCGTCAGCTCGGAGGAAAGGGACAAGGGCTTGCAGTAAGTAGATCGTAGATTTTCGCGTTATAGATTTGTTCCCATTGCTGATGATTCGATTTTTAGATTTTTTCCTTTGCAACAGACGATCGACGTATCGTCTCGACCGGTACGCGACGTGAACTTTTTGCAGCTGAAGGCGACTTTAACGGGTACGGTAAAATGTCTGCCGGGAACCGATTGCAGCCACGCTTCCGCTACTCTGAAAATACTCGACGGTATTACGATAAAGACGATACAGTCGAAGGGTAAGTTTATTGGAATTTTCTACCCAGCCCTTATATTATAATCGTTCGTTACCATAAATTTCCTGCGATAACAAAACCGCGCAAATACCAGGCAAACATATAATGTGGAATTATTTTATTCGTACTTTGATCGACGGAAAATTTCGTAGAAAACGAGTCACACGCGTTCTTGTTGTCGCAGCGATACCTTGATCGATCCAATCGATACTATTCTTTTTGTTTGTGAAGTCGTTTTTCGTCACGCAGATGGCCAGTATCAGTTTACGGACGTGTTACCCGGTCATTACGAGGTGCTGATAGACAACGATGTCTTCTGTTGGGAGCATTCCAGTTACAGGATATCGGTAACCTCGGAACGCGCTGAAGTGCCGACATTTGTACAGACCGGATTTTCCGTTACTTTCATTTCGTCCCACGACACAGCGGTGGTATATTCGGAGCCCGGCGATTTGACGAGACTAACTTTAGTTTTGAACAAAGGAAGTACAAAGCATTGCGTGTCCAAGCCAGGAGCGTACGCTTTCACGCCGAAAGGTTGTCACGTTTACGAACGATCGTCCTACGCGTGGGACACCAGCAGTCTTTCCCCTGTCTTATTGCACTCTACCGAACACACTCACAAGGGAAGCATTCAGAGTGTTGGCTCGTTAAACGATGTTAAAGTAAACATTGAAAACGCTGGCGACGTTACCACGTAAGTGCATATACAGGGTGTCCGAAAATAGCTTCGACTCCAGGAAATTATGGGTTCCTGGGGAAAAAAACAACTTTTTCCTTAGCGAAAATGTTATCCGAGGCTTTGTTACCGAAATATTAACGAAAAACCCCGACCAATCAGGAAAAAGTTGTTTCAAATCATCCCAGGAACTCCTAATTTCCGGAAGTCGAAACTATTTTGGGATACCTTGCATCTATTATGTACGTGTAAAATCATCCGTAATTTATTACTATATAGATTCGGTATCTGATCAAGCGATTGGTTCACAGATTGGGTCCATTGAAACCCGTGCAACAGGGTAGTTTCTACAAATATGAGTTCGAGTTCAAGGCGAGGACTGACAACATCTATGTGATAACACCGTTGTCGGACATACTGCTGTTTAGTCCTCCGTCGCTGAAAGTTCTGGCCGTAAACGATTGCCAAAACGATGTCGCTTCGTTTGTCGGTGACTTGGGAAAGGTAAGCGAACTCTACTATGCACCACTAAAGATCCAGTTATATACGAGGTGTCACGTATCGTTCAGATTATTGCAGGGCAAATCAGTCCAGCCTTGGAAGGTGTTAGCGTGCAGATATTCGGAAGCGACAGAACTTCCCCGGTGCACACGTTAGTCACGCAAAAAGATGGAACATACAGTGTCGGTCCTTTGGATGGAAAAGTTGATTACAGGTAAACATTTACTTTCACTGGTTACCATTACGTTTTCCGTGGATGTACATACTTAGGATGCATCACCGTTTTTCCTTTTGGTCAGTGTAACCGCAGAGAAAGAGGGATATGTCATTACTGGGCCAGATTCCAGCGGAGTATTTTTGGCGCACAAGCTGGCCGAGATTATCGTTCAAGTTTCCGACAAAGCTGACAACGCATCGCTACAGGTATATGCCGATGAAACTATTTGAAAACGACAAATGATTTTCAACGCGACGGGGGACGGAGCCTTTTCATTTCTTTTTTGCTTTCGCAGGGTGTCCTTCTCTCTCTGTCCGGCGGACAAAGTTATCGAAAGAACAGCGTGACCGGCGAGGACGGAAAATTAATTTTTAATTCCTTGTCCCCCGGGGAGTATTATTTGAGACCGATGATGAAGGAATATCGTTTCTATCCGCCGTCGAAGATGATCCAAGTGACGGAAGGTGCGACCGTGCAGGTGGAGTTGTTGGGTAGAAGAGTCGCGTTCAGTGCCTATGGATCCGTAATATCGTTGAACGGGAAGCCGGAAGCTGGCTTACTCGTGGAGGTTCAAGGACAGGGTGATTGTAGCAATCTCCAGGAAGAAGCGACCACCGAGGAGAACGGAAACTTCCGAATCAGAGGACTTCAACCGATGGTAAATGATCTTGCAAAGAATTGTAGGAATTACGGACCGAAAAATATACCGTATATGTACAGAATCCGATTTTTGTTTCACAGTGTACATACGCGTTTCGATTGAAACCCGACGCAGAGGTTAACGCATACATCCACCGCACCAGCCCCCACTCTATAACGGTGCAGACCTCGCAAGACGTTCACGGTCTTCGATTGATCGCGTTTCACCCACTATTGCGCACCGACGTGTCCGTCCACGTTGTATCCGTGCATCCGGAACATTATCGAACGTTAAAAGTGAAGCTCTGTAGAGAGGACATGCCCGACTCTCCGATTCATTCGAGCAAACTGGACGCTCAGCCATTGAACAAAATCGGGAATAATTATAACGCCGGTTTTCTCGTGCATCTGCCGCCGTTGCAAGCCGATGGAAAAAAGTACTTCGTACAACTGGAGTCCTCTCTGCCGCAAACGATGCACAAGTACAGAACCGTGCCGTTTTATTTCGAGGCGAACTCGTCGTTCAAGCACGTCAAGCTGACGTTTAACGCCGAACGAAAAGTCGACTCGAGCGACATGAGTCAAACGTCCGTGATCGCGTTGCCGTTTATTATGCTGGTCGCGTTCGCGTTTCTCAACCGCGAGAAGATCTGGACTTGGTTGAACGCGTCGATCGAAAGACGGTCGAAACCGTCTCCGAGCTCGAGGACCTCGATACAGGCTGTCCCCATCGATCCGAGAGCGGACGACATCATTGTCGAGCATATAATGAACATTAACAAGAGAAAAATGAAGCCGCGTAAGACGTAATCGATCGTTCCTTACTCTACTACTATACTATATACTATACTTACTACTATACAAAGACCGTTTTTTAGAGATCGACGGCGTCCAAACGCTCCATAAACACAAGCCAAACTCACGGTGTACATATCGCGAAGAAAATGTACGGACTCCTCTCGATTATTGTGTGACTTGGTCTACACGATTATTGTCCCGGCGCGGTCCTGACTTCAGGACGATAATCGAGAGGCGTCTGTATCGGACGATTTTGCATTTGAACAACAGACAGTACAAAACGAACGGAATCGAGCGCACGATTGTGTTCTCCGAACCATTGTGTTCTGAACGAATCGTTGTGCAATTCTCTTAGAATACTATTATATTAATTATTTCACGCGAATGAATGCAATACGAATACGTTCTTGTATATCTTTTATTCGACCGTTAATTAAAGGTTGAAACGTTGAATTTGACTCGATACGAAACGGACCTAGATTTCTCCTCCGTTACTGTGGCCCCGGTTCTCCCGAAACGGGTTAGTCCCTCTAGGTTGTTCACGGGGCGATAAAGAACTGGAAAAGGAAAACGTGAAATGGCGTGTTTCATCGATAGGAACGAAGCTTGGTTCGACTTACCATGGGATTCTCGGCGTACAAACATTTCATGAAACCGTACGCCTTCTCGCAATGGTCCTTTGCAGCTGTAAAACAATGGTAAGTGAACAGATGGTCAAATAAGTCTTTAGCGTTGGATCAGATTGCCATGAAACTACCGCGATACTCACTGACTTCGGTGCAACTATCGATCATACCGTGAACGACATCTTTGTAAACGTCCGGTATTATCTTTTTCAGTAAATTGTACTTGATCTTTCCGTTTTTGTCCATCTGTCGAACAGAAATGAACGAGTCGATTTTACGAGAAAGCTACGTTCCACTAGGGGAAAAAGTGACGTAGGAGGTGGACCTTATACCACTTAGTAAATTATTATTTCAAGTATTGAAACAAATGTTAAACCGAATATTAATTTTGCATAAATTTCAATACCTCCCAAAACTAAATGGTAGGAGGCCCTTTGCCTACGACACTTTTTTCCCTATCGGAAGCCGAGTTTGTTCGTGCGGGTACTTAACATTACCATGCTAGATTTCTCGAGGACACACTTGAAGTAACACTTCAATCGATCGTCTTCCGGAAACTCGCCAAATTCTGTATCCTCGATAGCCTCTAAAAGATAAGAAGTTCTTTTTATTTTCAGTAGGAGGGGATCTGTCGCTTTATCGCGCGAATAATTAAGAATTTTCTTGCTTACGAAGGGTCGTTTTAGTTTCTTCGATGCATTTTGCCCTTACACTGGCAGTCAATTTCCTGAAGTCATCCGGATCGGCCTTCCTCGGAAACCATCAATATATATTATTTTACGGCTAACAAGCGTAACCACGAAATTTCACAAAACCGGAGGGATACTCCCAGATAACACATGACGCCTTGAAGACGCCCATTTTACAGCTATTTTAGGTCTGAGGCGCCTTTAAGCTGTCTTCAAGGCGTCATGTGTTATCTGGTTATCTACTTACCGAACCTTTGACGAGTTGAAAGACCAGGAGGAGACTGGTCAGAATAAAAAAGAACTCTGTTACGGTTTTCATACTTGAACGGATCGATCGACGTTTCACGCCACTTGCAAACAACCGAACAAACACTGTGGATCTTTTCTATCAACATGCCGGTTATAAATACGTATATGTATATATATATATATATATGCACTTGATGATTGTGGCAAATAATAATTGGTTGACAAAACGAAGCAGTAGGCGAAGAATCGTGTTTCCAGTATAATAGTTGAATTAATTGTCGGGGATAATTGTAGCTATCCGTGCTTCGTCCTGCCTCGACAAACTTTTGACTACCACCTAGAAGGTATCTAATTGTTCGCCGTACAGCGAATCGCAAGAATAAACGGTTCCGGATCGAACAGGTACAATGTAATCGAAACGTTCAGACGAACTTCCGTTCGTGATTTCCAAGCGTTGTTCATGACGAATAGCACGTAATTATTCGGTTAATTTACTCGTAATACGATCCGTTGGATCGGCCACGAAACTCGAAAAGTCGAACGTCACGACGGTGCTCCGTACTTACATGTGCACCTGAATTACGATGTCACCCCCCGTATCGAACACGTTGAAATTATAGGCAAACCAAATTCTAGTTTCTTTCTTAATAGCAGGTGCTTCCGTATACGCAACAGTCCGTATCAGTTTTGATACGGCATCTATCGGAACAATATCCTTAGTGTTCCTTCCATGGGCATAGCCAGCTTATCAGTTGGGGGCAAAAATATTAACACATTGACTGCCACAGTAGAAAAGGCCGTACGTAGTCAGACACGCTTTATTTTTTTTTTTTTTAAAGTCATAAATCCTTGATACTGTATGCGTTTTGCTAATAGAGGTTATTGGTCGTGTTTCAAACTATACTGCAATATTAAATATTATTCAAAAATACTCTGGAAAGGGGGGGGGGGGATCCAATTTTTTTCTTCTAGGGTAGGCACTTGGTTCGTGTCCGACACCTTGAAGACGTCCATTTTACGGCTCTTCGAAGGTAGTGATTGTTTTTCGTCGAATTCTTACCGAATGGCTCCAGAACTACACGGTTTTCGCACCATCGATTTGCTCTTCCCTGAAATTTGAATAGTATGACTTCCAACACTCTGGTGTCCAGATATAGAATCTCAGAGTTTCGATAAAACCCCATTTAGTCCGTCCATGGTGATCGAGATCGGAGCTGCATGCGACGCTATCGGGCACGTCCAACCTTCGAGTAATTCGCACGCGTAGATACGCGATTAATATCAATCAACGAATCACAGTAACCCGCTCGTTCTATTTCTAACGCGCTGTTGCGTTCGGACACGGCCTCAATTGATAATTGGAGCATTTCTGCGTAGGCAGTTCCGATCAGACCGGTCGTTTTGACGATCGAACCTTGAAATTTTTCGGGTCGTTCACGCTTCCGATCGTTCGTTGTCTTTCTTATCTTCTAAACAGGGACTTAAATCGGTATGATTTTGATACCGGTATTATGCCATCAAAGCTATACCGATGTATTACCGAAAATCGAAATAAATACCGATATTTTTTCGATTTCTATAAGGGTGGTGCTTATATAGGGTTATATAGGGCGAAGGTACAACCGGAAGTACCGGTATTTACGTTCCGGTAGAAATCCCTGCTTCTAAAATACCGAAGAACGCATTCCCACTTTCAACGCATCCAAGCATTTCGTACACTCGAGTATTCGATGTGGGGTTCAATAAATATTTAAACGATTTTAACAACCTTTTTATTCAGACGTTCCTTTTATTGATGTCTCGTGCGGAACGGATATGGGGTATTATTACATCGAAACGGATACAGTTCCTGGAGCCTCGCGTTCCTCCCGCAGTATTGCTTTCTCCACTTCGCGCGGGAATTCGTTAAAACAGATAATAGGTCTGAAACGAGAAAAACGATCGCTCGTCGAATCTGACATCTCTCGAAATAAAACAAGAAACTAGAAACGATTTTAAGTTACTCACCCGTGGTGACAACGCCGCGTAACATTTGTTGAACGTGTACGCGTACTCGCAATTGTCGCCGTTCGCTGGGAAAGAGATAATTACGTCTTGTCGTGACAACGATCGCGGTGAATAACCGATCGATCTCGCGTACAATCGAAAAGAAACGAGTGTGCAATCATGCGATCCGACACACCGTATATGAAAGCAGAGTTTAAATAAAAATTTAATCTAATTAAAAAACCCAAATCGGAATTACGGTGTAATTGCAAGGCAATTACAAATTAGATTTAGATTTTGTAATTAGATTACATTTCGCCCAACTCTGTATGAAAGTAAAGAGAATAAAAAAAAATAAATGTAAAATTATAATTTAATTGAAAAAAACAAAAAAAAGGTAGCGGATCGATCGAGGAAAAGAATGGAGGAAAATATAAAATACACAGTTAGATACCGAAATATTTACCAATCCCCTTGCACTTGCTGATCGCTTTCTGAACTTCGGTTCTGTAAGCAGGTATTCTCTGGAAAAACGTGAGCATACCGTTCAGACTGAGGTCCCTTTTGTCATCGATTAGACCGAATTGCTCCCACAGACAGTACATGTAACACTGCGTCGCAAAAGGAACGAATGAAATGTTCATTAATACATCACGTTTCGACAAACACGTAGTGTCGTCCAAAACGGTAAGTGGGTAATCGTTTAATACCTTTAACTCCCGCGTTTCCGGCCATTCGCCATTCCTCACCGCCTCTATGTCCACTGAAGCAAACAATCGTTGTTAATTCGATCGTTTTTCGATTTTCTTATTACCCTGATAACCAGTTGTGTACAAGTTTCGAGGCAAATTGCCAGTAATAAATAACGAAAGCTGTGTAAAAAAAAAACCATAGCCACCTGGTTCCGCATTTCACTTGGATTTTTGCAGGCAACAATTGCAGACAAAATGATAAAACAAATTGGCAGAAAGTCTTGCAACAGGACTTATGTCAAATTGTGGGCAAAACCGGAACAAAGTTTGAAGCCAATTTTCTGCATACGTTGCTGTCAATGTGCGCGCAAATTTATAACAAATCTTGCGTCAAACTTGTAGCCATAACTTGATAACAGACATTGGACAAAATTTAGCTTTGGCTGATTGGGTACATTATTTTTTCTTCCCCCATCATACGTACCCGTGGCCACTCCGGTCTGCGTTTGACAAGCGTTCACCACACTGGCCGCGGTTGTGATCATCTTATCAGAGACGAAGCTCGGCCGCGTCTACGAAACATCCGAAATTTTAGTCGAAATTGAATTCGATCGATGAAACCACATCGCCCAAAATATATTCTCAGGATTGCAGAACGACCGTATCCAGCAAAAATTCCTGACCATTCGATCGTTGTCGATTCTCTTTTCTATGTTCGTTACTTTTTGTTCTGGAGAGAAATAGGTAGGAAGAGGCCTAGATAGCACATGACGCCTTAGACCTAAAACAGCCGTAAAATCTTGAAGGCATCGTGTGCTATCTGGTGGGAGGTGGCTGGTGAATGGGTCTTATTGTTTTCTCCTTTTTTCGGAGAAAAAACAATGCCAGTAAAATGTTGAGAATACAATTATCCAAAGAGATTTCTAATAAATTCATCGAACAGTAGTACGTACCCCGCAATGAACGCTCGCAACCTGGATCAAGTAGAGAGCCAGCAGAGGTACGATTATCGTGAGCTTCATGATTCGCGTCCGATTTTATTGACCTATCGTTCTCGTCGAGCCCAGCGAACGATCAATCTCCGGTTAGTGGGATACTCGTGAAGAAACACGAGAATCCACGAATATTCTCCAGAGAAAGATTTTCGTTACAACACAGCTCGTTTAGTCCCGGGTGGTCGGCCGGGGGCGGGTGATTCTGGCCGGCTCAGGGGCTGTTTTCAGCGGCGATTACTCGGAGCTACTCGGCGTACTTCGCCGGCGACGTTGGCAAACGCGAGGGCGCAACTGAATTAAATCCCGCCGCAGGCACGGAATGTCCGACGGTAGAGAGATATCTCGACACGTGTTACGCTTAGGACTAATAATAATTGAAATTTCACCGGCGATTTGTCTATGGGACGTGTCTTCGATAATATGCAGGGCAACGTTATCGGTCTGGTTACGATCGATATCTACTTGTTGCGCGTAATGCGTGAAACGTCACGAAACGATCGTTAACATTTAAAAGGATTGAACAGATGAGTAGGCTTTTGTTTCTAGGCCAGGGTGTAACGCGTATATAAACGTATATTTGATGGGCGGATGTTATACCAGCTTACGAATCGACCCTATACATACCCTCCTATCGCCTACATAACACATAACCAACCGATTCAAGTGTCTCGTTCCGTTACCATTAATTCAACATGTGCGACATACAAGTCCGCAGGACGAGACATCTAAATGACGCTGTACACGGTTATTAACGATCGGTAAACAGGTCTTGGATTTTCCTAGAAATTTGAAAAAGTCTAGAAAATGATCTCTGAACCTTCGATCATTCAGAATCATTGGAATCATCGAATAGAAAAACTATTTTTATCATCTAACTTTCTGTTTCACGATTCAATAATCGAGTGTTTGCGATTAGATTTCGAACGACGAATCGATCAACAGTTGGGGAAACTAATAAAAGAATTTTGGAAACTGGTCGAGTTCGTTTTATATTTGGTGCACTCTACTCGTCATCCATCGGAACGAAAACGAAAACAGTTTGGTTTCCGTCGACGATGGGCGAACACAGCCGAGTCAAGCATTGCGACCGGCGTCCGTTTTTGTACAGTCGCACTTTAAAATTATTGGCCAGCCCCGATTCCATTCCAGCGAAATTGTAAATGTCACGCGATTGAAATCGGTATGACCAGCGTCCGGGAAAGCAATAATGTTCCGATGATATTTTTACGATTCTGTCCGGCATTTCATCGACATTTCATCGAAGCGAGTCGTCGTACGGAATGTTTCTCGCTCGACATAACCTTTTCATTGACTATACTTTTCGGTGGTCAATTACACGGTCAGCTGTATTTTTTATCGATGAAGAACAAACGTATAAATTTAAGAACTATACGTTTCACGCTGCATTAATACAGTCTCGTTTCTTTAAAACGTAGATGAATTTAATAGATTTTCAGGAGATAAAACGATTTTGAGGGACTGTACGGTTCGACGACATGGTACAGTCTACTGAATTGAAATTGACAACATCGTCTCATTCTCGCAAGATTTTTCGCACCGAAACCGTTTCGTGTATTAAACGAATATCTTTGCGATGCTGTGACATCGTTCTGAATGTTATTCGATAGATAAAGAACACTCGAGAACGACGTTTAGACTGATGTTACAAGTTCACGAGACACGGAATGAGGACAAAAGAATCTCGACGGACTGTACAGCCGAAGTTGTATTGACAGTTGTGTTTCCTTCGAGCAAGTGCATTTCGTTGAAAACGAAACGTGTATGGTGTTTCAAAGAAGAAAATCTAATCTCTCGATTATGCGTTTTAACGGTGCTTAAACGTTTCTCATGGAAAGGGAGCTAGAAAAGTGAATGTTTCGAGCAAAGTCAAGTACGATAACCGAGGCAATTGTATTCCGTTGACGCTAAGACCCTCGAGCTGCCCCAGGATTTCCAGCACGGTACAATGTCAAAGACGAGAATGAAAGAATTCTTCTTCAAGATCGTTCATAGTGAAGTTTCGAACGTTGAATAGAATGCCTTGCTGGATCGTTCCAGTTCGAAGATTCCGCGACAGACGGAAAGTATAAGTGTACGAGGCTAATTAAAATTTTGAAAAACTTCTCGTAGAGCAACTGCTATTGTCACGTGGTCTATTCTCTTTTTATACGTCAATTTTCGCGTAAAATTTAAAATTTTTTACGAATTTCTTTCGCTTCTTTCTGTTTCTCGATAAGTCGATTAGAGTCAAATAAAAATGGGAAAAACGAGAGGAGTACACGAGACAACGCCAGAATTGAGAAACCGAATGGTGGGAATGTACGAAGCTGGTTTAGGACTGCGAGAAATTGCGGCAGCTGTAAATTGTTCGGTGAGTGTGTTGTAAACATTATGTATAACAAAAAATGATGTTTGATTTAACTAAAATGGTTAATATTATTACGAAATTCTATGCATCTACATTACTTTTGTCGCTACATCCTATGGTTCCAGCAACGCACTGTCAAGAGATGGTTAAATAGATTTGACAAGGAAGGCACAGTAGAAACACGAGAGCGATGTGGACGTAAACGTGCCACTACGGTAGAACAAGATGAAGCTATAGTGAAGCTGGCCACACAGACACCAATAACAGCTGCCAAAGCTGTTCTTCCTGCTTTGGGGCTCACGTGCTCTGTAGATACTATCAGAGAAAGGCTACACAAAGCTGGAATACACAATTGGAGTCCATCGCGGAAATATATGCAAAGAATTACACTTGGGTTTGTGCTTCAATGTGTTTCCTTGTTTTATTGCGATGCCCTTATGCTACTCAATCTCAGTGAATTCTTGTAAGTTACCTACTTTGTCCATAGTGATGCTGATGGTGCTGCTATTCAACAACCTGTATGGAGACCTACGGGAACACAGTTGGGAAAGAAAAAGTCTTCCAAAGATTCTAACAAGAATGATACGATTGGCAACGTTAAGAAAAAGAATTCGCCATTTTGTGTTTTCGCAACAAAGTGCTGCTCAATCTCAGGGCTGTAATATACAGTCGCAATCCCAATCTTTATCTCCAAGTCAAACGGAGTTTGGTAACCCCTTGAGTTTGGTTCAACAGACGCAACCTGTTTATCAGCACTCTAGTTTGAATATTTCTCAAAGTTGGCCACTCGATTTAGTGCAAGGAACTCATCATTATCCACAGGTTCGTCAGCTGCAACTTACGCAACACGAGTACTTGTCCTGCTGTTCGACCGTATCCTTTTTTCGATTTTTAGGCCCAAGCGGATGCAATATCTCACGAACAACTATTGCCACAGCAGCTTCAAGAACTGCAAACCCGACAAGAGCAACAGCACCATGCGCAACAAGTACAATCGACGATTCCAGACGAAACGCATAATCTGGATCAGCGGCAACGACAACTCGAAGTAGTACGCCGGGTTCAACAGCAACAGCATCAGGATAATTTACATTCACAACTAGTTAATTCGCAAATTAATTCAAACCTGAATTCTGACGCTACTAATTCCTGCAGTTCTCAAGATAGTAATCAGTCTTCTAGCGCAGAACCGAAACAGAACAAAGACTCATCGAGAGAAGGTATCGAAGAAAGTGACTCGCGGAGAAAGAAAAAGAAAGGCGGGAAAGCGAAAGGAACGTTGGAAACCAGTGTCGAAATACGAAATCGAATGATCGGCATGTCCGAGGCAGGCTTGTCCACGTTGTCTATCGCGCTCGCAATCGACAGATCGGTAAGAAGAAACATGTTCGTCTTGCTGGATTCGCATAATTAAGATCGTCGTGGGGATAGCCGTATACCCAATGCTCGTTATTAAATAGGAACGTACCGTTAAACGATGGTTAGAACGTTGGCACAAAGAAGGTAACGTACAGACAAAGGAAAGAAAGGGTCGACGTCGAATTACAACTAAAGAGCAAGACGAAGCCATCATTGCAATGGCTACTCAGCAACCTTTGACTGCAGCTAAACACGTTGCGCCTGCTCTTGGATTAAAATGTAGCGTAGACACGATCAGGGAAAGGCTTCATAAAGCTGGTATTCACAGTTGGAAGCTTGGAAAGAAGCAAGGGTTGGTATAATAAAAAAAAATATATATTCTTCCTTATACAAATATGTTCGCGCATAACAAGCAATAGCCGAGTTTTCAATCGTTTCAGGGAGGGGAACGCTGTTCATACGGTTCACCTGTGGCAACCTAGTGGAAACCGACCAAATAAACCGAAAATACCCGGTGAGAAGAGAAAAAGGCCAAGTGGTAATAAAAAACGTGATCAATCAAGCAATACGCAAAAACGAGTATCCACCAGGAAGAAAAAAAACGAGTCTACCGGAGCAAAGTTGATTGCACAGCCAACGAATATGGTATCGGAACAATCTACTGCTTTGCCATTTCATAATTCAACGACAAGTAAGCTGGGTTATTAATTTACTTTGTTGATGTGCTTCTCTGTAAAAAAAAACAAGACTAGTGGATAACTTTGGAAACCACTTTTTAGTGGCAAACTATGTTCCAGGTCCGAATATAATGCAGCCTGTTCACAATATTCCTATAGCTTCTGCTACGCTCGTTCAGTCGCAACCTCCACCGCCAGGTCCTGCGCCAGCGCTTCAAACGATGCCGTCGATGGGTCTTATGATGCAACAAAGACCCGATTGTCGATTAGCGCCGAATATCGTACCACCTGTTTCGGGACAAGGAAATACCGGAGTTTCTTATCCATCTTGCATGGTTGGAAGCAACAACCACACTGGTCACAGTATGGAACAACCAGATCCTTTGAATTACGAACCATACATATGGAGTTTTTGAACGCTGAACTCTGAAGAACACCAATCAATTGTAAAACTTTTCCATTTTTACATCCTTCATCACGCCGAGTAAGTTTTTCTTTTTTTTTGACATTGAACCTTTATTACCTTCAAGCTGATATTTTATGAAATTACATTATACACTGTCTAAATTTTTACGGAATACTATTTTTACTAAAATTATTTCTATAATTTCAAGGAGGCTGGAGGTGAAGACGAGACATTTGTGGCGTGTACATTTGAAGATAGATTATCAAGTGAGTACAAATTTTATTGCAATTGAAAATGCAATAACACTTGGTATTTTTCTAAATCTTAACTACACGATGAAATTAGTTAACACGATGTGAAATTGTGTTTATAAAGGTATTACAGCAATTTTTAACCTAATTCTGCTCCGAACAAATTAAGCGTAAAGTTAGCATTATGAACGTGAATGTTAACGAAATGACAAACGGGCACATTAATATATTGTTTGTGAATTCGAACTGTGCTATACCATCGTGATTGCGCGAAAAAATGTTTTACAAAGTAAAACACAATTTTACTGTTTTACTCGATCAATTACGTTGATTTAAAAAATCTCTGATTTAAGGATAATTGGTTGAACCAATTTACATGAACGTGAGGTGCACGGTAACAGTTTGTACATACATATACATATATAGATATAAATTTATGCAGCAAAGGAAATATATTGTCGGAAATAAGAAAAAAAAATTATACAACGTTTATTTTGCTATCACGTATTTTGTCTTCGGATCGTCGTTTACAATATCATGTCAATAGTAACGTATTAATTAAAACGGACAATGCGAAATCGAAAATTTTGTATCTAATTTCTGTTAAGTGTATATTTGTAGAGAGTTTAAATGTTGAAGATCATTAATGATTAAATACGAGCTGGTCGTATAATTAATATAAATATTTGCAGACTCAATTTAAAGCCCGATAATACTAATGTTCATACCTTGTAATTCAGTCTGTCACGTAAGTTCCCATATCTGCGAAACGTTCTTCAACACGTTATCCGGATCGTTTTTGTAAAACATAAAGAATCCTTGAATTTGTGCCGGGCTAATACTTTTCTGTTGTGATATTATACTCTCTGCAAATTTTTTGGCGGTTTCGATTGCCTTGTCTCCGCTATGTTTGTAAAATCGTAAAAACATTTGTTCCACTTGTGTAGCGCTACACCAGCCTGAAAACATACGCGTATTCAATTGAACAGTGCCCAGTATTCTATATGTACCTTGTTCGAATGCAACAGTATTAAATTTTGTGCGCATACCTATGTATTCCTTTACGTCTACTCGACCTGGCCTCACCAATGCAGGATCTAACCTTTCTAAGTAGTTTGTAGTCATAAATAGAATTCTCGCTTCAGTAGAAGCAACACCATCCAAACAATTTAATAAACCACTAAACGTGACTCTGTTTAGACCGTCGTACGCGGCTTTAACTGCAGTAAAATCCATTAAAATTAATGCGTTGTATAATGCAAAGACAACATACACCGTTTAAATTTAAACCCCACCTTCTTTAGTTTCCTCCCGGCTGCTAAACGCAGCGTCGATATCTTCCAAAAGTACAATAGTTTGTTGAGGAGCCATAGCTAATAAGTGATTTAATCTGTCGTCTGTCAGACCACGTTCCGACAGATTTAGAACGCAAATGCCCCGTTCTAATTCACCAGCTAATGCGGTAATAAATGACGATTTACCGCAACCAGGAGGACCATGCAATAAATATCCTCGACGGTATGGAATACCTTTGTAAGTAAGAGAGATTATTTCCTTTCTGTCTAACGTTTACGTCCTATTATCATCTACATACCACGGTCGCTGTACCACGAATGATTTTTTATAAATTCACGACAATCCTTCAGTATTCGTTCGGCAACACCCGTGTCCAATACAACCGATTCTAACGGTCTTCTTTTTCTAGGATGTCCAAATTGTCTCCATTCATTTCCCAAGGCTGTGTACATTATCGTTTTGCCTTCGTGTTCTTTTAAAGCCATTTGCCTTGCTGCAGACATAAAAAAATATTATAAACACGTTCACCGCGAATCCTATTTTGGCTATCTTCCTGTTCACGCCGATCGTATTTGATACTTGAATTTTTATTATATGACTGTCCAATGTTGACCGACGCGGCGTGAACAGAAAGCTTTGTGCCTATGTATACATATAAAATTGTACCCTCTTCCAAAATATTGAAATATATATTTCTGTTCCTTCCAAATGCTGTAAGCTGTACAGTTTCAAATGGTATGCCCATTTGTATATCTAATGTTTGTTGTTCTCTCGTTCGTTCTACCTTTATCCAATTCCCTCTGTACCTGTTAATTTGAAAAATGAATGAACAATTTGTACACGCTTGGTTTTACTATGTAATGACTCCCTTCAAGTTATTACAATGGATAATTGAACAACTGTTTCATACTTGTTACTGCAAGATGAGTATTGGAGCGATAAGTACAGTTATTTCTAACCTAATGAAATGAGTTCCAATACTTGGTATGAAATCATATCTAGTTTTTATGTGACCTGTTTCTCTTTGCTCGAAACTTGTCTCAACCGACAGATGTTGTGTTTCTTTTGCACCCTTGTACGTAATCCACTGTAAAAGCCATTGATAGCTTTTATCACGACATGGAACCTCCAATGTGATCATATAATGTCGCCTGTATATGAAAAGCATTAAATAGTTAAATGCTTGCATTCCTTTTCGCAACATAGCTGCTCCAGCTCCTAACCCAAAAAGACCAAAGCCAGCTCCAAAATAAGGATTATCAGACAATGTCTGAACATAATCTATTATCGTCATAGCGAAATGATATTTTTTTACTCAGAGCACAATTAGTAGTGAATTGTTTAAACCACCATTAACTCGTTATTCAACTGGTATCAAGTTTTCACTACCCAATACCATATTTCGTACATACAATGTAAAGAAATAATTGTATGTATGTGAAACTCAATGAAACTATATATATTCCATATATTCTTTGCCACGTTACTTCAATATATTCAGAATAATATGAAGGATAAGACACGTGTTGTGTTATCACAAGTATATTCGATTGTTTTAGCATTACCTTATCTTATGCTACTCAAATACATTCTAAATCGTAACATCGTTTGTTCGATGTAACAAAAGTTCTAGGAAATTTTACCATCTTCTTTGAGAAACGAGTTGGTAAGCCTAGATTAAAATTTGTAAACGATGCATTCTTTGAAACGTGTCATTAAAATTGTACGGGAATAACATTGAGAATTATTTGATAGTGATCGAATTGTTTGGTCAGTAGAGGTAGGTACAATTACGAATTAATAACGTGAAATCCATGTGTGGGTACTTTTCACACGCATGGTTATTTACATATGTTTTTATATATATATATAGGTGTGAACTCGTCGAGTTCTTCCACTTCTACCAGTGCGGTATTTACCGGCACGTGCATTGCATGGATTGGCTCTTAATATTATTCGATTCCCTTTCGTTAAGACGATCATTATCGTAAATTTAAAGGTACGTAAATAATATTAAAGAAATTTTTTCCATGCTAAACATTGTCATTAAAGACCAATGCTGCATATTATTAGTAGCGTTTTCATTCATCTCCGATACACGGAAATTTAAGTTCGTCGCTTCATTCAACAATTTAATGTCGTGACAAGCGTTTTGAATAGTTTTTGAATTATTCGGAACGAGTAACAAAAGAATATTGTTATTGTAAATTATTAACTATGACAGATGTTTTTGACGTTTCGTTTGTTTGTCGCGCAGCCAATACAACCACTTCATCGGTAGCGTTCCGTTCGTTGAGAAATCTTCTAAGTTTTCTGTAAACTTTATTACCATAAAGCACACAATACCCTTACATGGAAATATTTTTTGTATTACAATTCTGGTAATTAAATATCTCTCTTTTGTTCTTGTTTCTACATTCTGCAGTCTGACAATCTTTATGTTGTTTACAGATGTGGTCGACTATACCTTTTTATTTGCTGCTCTTGTGTATAACGCACCTTGAAGCAGATAAAAGAGTCAATAAATATGTGACGACCTTAATAGATGCAAAATGGAAAGAAACACCTTTGGTGCTCGAGGCAGCTGAGTATCTAAACGATGAAAATCCAATTTATTTTTGGAAGTTTGTAGATACTTTTTCCAATAATGATTTCAGAAATGGTAATTATAACTTAACTCACATTAGGGGTACCCTTTTATTACATTGTGATTTAATATTTTCTGTTGTAGCTACAGAGAGAGATAACTATAATGCTATTATCGCATTTGCTGAAAAGTACTTATCTTCTTCAGAAGTAGCATTACTTAAATTAGGATTATCTTTACGCATTTACTCTGCACGGGTAGAAATGTTTACTCAAATGGCTGAAAATAAAAATATTTCAAATTTTGAGTGTTATAATATAGCGGACATTGGTGGAACTTATACTTGTTCCTTAGAGGAATTGGAAACATTAGTTAATCAGGTGAGAAATAAGTATCATTGTTGCTATAGAGCACCATATAACTTGTTTACACACGTGTATAAAATTCTTATACATATGTATATTTTGAATAGGAAACATGGTCGAATCCTGATACTTATAGCGTAGACCATCGCTATCATACCTCTCCACAGACTGAAAGAATAGTTATATTATATGGCCAAGTAGGGACTCCGAATTTCTCAGATTTTCATAACAAACTGAAAGAGCTTGCAGAAACCAAAGGATTTAATTACATTCTACGACATTATTTAAAGGTACCATTGATAAATACTAGTAGCTAATTGTACCATTCAGACATTTGTTTCTTGCCTGATTTGTAGGATAGGATAGACAAGAATGTACAGTTGTCAGGATACGGTGTGGAACTGCAAATGAAGTCCACAGAATACAAAGCCACCGATGATTCTGACATTAAAGATAATGCTGGCAAAGATTCCGAAAGTGCCAGTGATAGCATGGAAGAAATAGATGGCATAAACTTTGTGACTTTAAAGTAAGGTGGATATATTTCTAATATACCTTTTGAAAGAATAACTATTAGACCTTATTTTTCTGTAAAAAAGTATTATTTTCCTTATATGCATTGTCCCTGCACAACTATAATATTTCCAGAAATTTATATCCCGATAAGCAAGCCGAATTGGACAGGCTGCAAACACACTTGCTGGAAACCAGTCATGAAATTGGTGCTTTAAAAGTATGGCAGTTTCAAGAGTTAAGTCATCAGGCAGCTGAAAGAATAATGAACTCCCCTATGAGCGAGGCTGTTAACGTTTTGACTGATATTTCCCAAAACTTTCCCATGCAAGTAAATATGTTTCCACAGTCTTGATAATCAATGGCATGATTTGTTCAAACTTCTGAAAATTGATCCCTTGGCTTTCTTTACTGTCGACAGGCAAAGTCTTTAATTAGAACGAAAGTAAACAGCGAAATGAAAAAGGAAATGAAACTTAATCAAGCAATTTTTACATCGAATTTAAACATTCAACCCACGGATACTGCGCTCTTTGTAAACGGACTGTTTTTCGATCTGGAGGCTGTAGATGTACTCAGTCTTCTGGAATCCCTAAGAAATGAGCTTAGAGTAATGGAATCCCTTCGTAAAATCGGTACGATGAATCCTGGATCGAGAACACGCTGTTAAAGAAAAACAATTCGCAATATTACTGAATATTTCGTTCGCAGGGTTTAGCAATACACAGATGAGTAAATTGCTGTCGCTGGATTTATCCACGAATATGGATAAACAAGAATTCGCGATCGACATAAGGGATTCGGCTATAATTTGGATAAACGATATCGAGCAGGACTCAACTTACGCAAGGTGGTCGGCATCGTTGACGGAACTCTTACGACCAACTTTTCTTGGAATGCTTCGAAATATTAGAAGAAATTTGTACAATTTGGTTTGTAAACCAATTTGAAAAAGATTGAAAAATTTTATGCATAAAAGATTCTGTGTAATCTGATATTTTTCTTTTTATTTCAACAGGTACTAATTATCGATCCATTAAGCACGGAATCTACCGCTTTAATAAATCTGGCACAGTCCCTGTATTTGCATGCCGCACCATTGCGTGTAGGCTTTGTGTTTGTAACAAATTACGACACTACTATAACTGGATTAACGGACCCTAGTGTCGCGGTGAACAACGCGTACCATTACTTTGCGGAGGTTAAAGGATCAGAACACGCTCTACAGTTTCTAATAGACGTAACGCCATTTTTTATTTCATATTTACCGTTCGGTGTTTGCCAGTCGTCTGTGTGTCAACTGGTGCCTCGTTTCAGTTGAGAAATTACATTGGACCGGAGGGAGCAACCGTAGAGGACGTAAAAAAAGCTATAAAGGCGCAAGATGCATCGGCTAATGTTAATTATATTCTCGGAGAAGAGTCCGAATACGACGTGGGACGTCACTTAGCTAGCGATTTTGTGAAGAGGTCTGGTTTTAAGAAATTTCCCCAAGCTTTAATGAACGGGGTACCTTTATCTCCTGATCAGTTGAACGCCGACTCGTTCGAGGAAGCAGTTCTCTCTACTATTGTGTCGCAGACGCCTGCGTTACAAAAAGCGGTGTACCGGGGCGAAATAGCCGAACAGGACGATGTTGTCGAGTACATTATGAATCAACCAAATGTTATGCCACGGTACGACTTGTTCACTCGACATATATAATATTTTTCAATAATAACTTACCTGTTTCTAATTCTATATTGCAGTTTAAACGAACGGATATTGAAAGCAGAAAAGCATACGTGGTTGAGCTTAATTGGCACTGTACCTAGTGATGAAGATTACACAAAGTGGAGTCCTCAAGATTTCTCAACTTGGTTGATGAATAGATTGCAGTATCTGTTTGTACCACGCCGTTCGAACGTACATCATTTATATACATTTTGGGTTGTAGCAGATTTACAAACGTCGGCTGGCAGAATGCTGCTACGCGAGTCGCTCGGCTACATAGTGAGTAATAATTATATATATAATTATATAATTTATATAATTAGTTATTGTGCGTAAATGAAATGTTAATATTGTGTATTGTAATCTAGGAATCGAACGCCGACATCAGAATTACCATAATTATCAATCCTACGACCGATACAAATGACATGGACAGCGCGACCGATATTAATCGAATAGCGTTAGCTGGCTTAAATAGTTTGCCCGCCGAGAAGGCTATGCATTTCGTTCGTAACGTTATCCAGGAAGATGTTGCTAATACTATTGCGTCTGGTAGTTTTAATATAGAGGTACGAACTTATACTTATTAAAGATTACCAATTAAAATAAAAGTAATTAATTCCACTCAAAAAAAAATATATATATATAAATCAGGAAGAAGCGGTGAGAGAACAGTTGAAGAAGCAGATCGACGAATTGCGTGTACACCGACAGTACGTTAAAACTGTATTGAGTTTGGAAAGGGGAGCTAGAGCAATTGTGTGCAACGGGAGACTAATAGGACCGCTGAATGACGACGAAGAGTTTACAAGTGATGATTTTTCACTGTTAGAGAGATTCAGTCAGAGCAATTACGGTGATAAATTATTTAAAAAGTTAATAAAGGAACGGTTACTAGAGGACGATGAATATGGTATGAAAATTTAACTTGCAAACATTTGTATTGGAACGTTAGTGCATACGCCACGTTATCACGATGACTTTTCTCCCACAGAGAAGAATGAAATTACAGACAATATGATCATGAAAATCACATCGTTGTTGGTATCGCATCCCCAGACGCGAAGCCGATTCGACGTTCCGTTTTACGGCGACGATTACAGGTGAGTGTACATACAACGCAATGTAATTATTAAACATATGACAACGTATCTAATTCGCGTTAATCGTTACGGTATTCAGCGCCATTAAGATTCCAGCGGCGCATCCGGACGAAGTGGCTTTCTCTTTGATTGCTATCGTAGATCCTGTGTCACGTGGCGCACAAAAGTTGGGTCCAATTTTAAAAACGTTGCAACAATCTCTGAACTGCAACATTAAAGTTTTTCTGAACTGTTTAGACAAGAACAGCGACATGCCATTGAAAAGGTATAAGAATTTCACAATAACGGCACGTTTGTTCTTTCTTCCCTTATTTATTCTCGACGTATTTTCAATTATTTTAGTTTCTATCGATTTGTTTTCGAGCCACATTTGCAATTTTCCATCGATGGTCGTATCAACGGTGCAATGGCAAAGTTCACAAAGCTACCGACATCCTCTCTGTTGACACAGTACATCCATGCGCCTGAAAACTGGTTGGTTGAAGTGGTCAGAAGTGTTTACGATTTGGATAATATTAAGCTGGACAATGTCGCGATCGGAGTGCACAGGTAAACACCTTGTAGAGGATCAGCATATCGACGATTTCGTATACATGCACATACAGGGTGTCTCAGCTAACTTGATCACCTCTTGTACTTCATGCAAAATTTTGAGGCGCGGAAATTAAATGGCATTCATGTACCCCTTGGTGCCATTTGAGTTCCACACCTCAAAATTTTCATAAAGTATGCCGTTAAGTCATTATTCGAAGTGATATCAAGTTAGCTGAGATACCCTGTATACACGAATATCCTCTTCATTCTTGCAGCGAATTCGAATTGGAGCATTTGCTGCTCGAAGGGCATTGTTTCGAGGCAGTGATCGGAAATCCACCTCGAGGATTGCAATTCACTTTGGGAACGGAGAAACAACCGTTAATGGTGGATACGATTGTTATGGCAAATTTGGGATATTTCCAACTAAAAGCGAATCCAGGCGAGTGGGTGCTACGTCTTAGACAAGGCCGATCAGCGGAAATATATGATTTCACTACCGTTGGTGGGCAAGACGTCATACAGAACGGTAACGACGTTAAAGTTGTTATAAGTTCGTTGAGAAGTCACGTACTGAAAGTTAAAGTATCGAAAAAACCGGAAAAAATCGGAATGGATCTATTGTCCGAAGACGACAAAAGTTCCGGCTTGTGGAATTCCATTTCGAGGTACGCAATACACTCTTCCCCTATTCGATTTCCACTGATCTAGTACGCAATTACATCGTTAGCATAGTTCCTCTTGCTTGAATACAATTAAAGCTAAGCATTGTGTTTACCGAAATGTCGTTCAGTTGCCCTCGAACTTTAACTTTTATTTATTCTCTCTCTTTTTTTAGCTTTTCCAAATTTTGGTAAGCTATTCACGTTTACATAAACTGCGTGGCACAATATATTCTCGTAATTCAATCGTACTCTACCTCGTATATTATAAGAGGCAACGTTTTTACATCTATTTAACAAGTTCTAATTTCTGTTCGCTTGAAAACCAGGACGTTCGCAACAGGAGACGACAGCGACGATCAGGACGAGAAGTTGAACATCTTTTCTTTAGCGTCGGGTCATTTGTACGAAAGATTTCTGAAAATTATGATGCTGAGCGTTGTAAAACACACCAGTAGTCCAGTGAAATTTTGGTTTCTAAAGTTTCGTTTATTAGGATTTCCTACCGTATATGGCGAAAGAGTATGGTTTCGAGTACGAGCTGGTCCAGTACAAGTGGCCACGTTGGCTTCATCAACAGACCGAGAAGCAGAGGACGATATGGGGTTACAAAATACTGTTTCTGGACGTACTCTTTCCGTTAAACGTTAAAAAGATAATATTCGTGGATGCTGATCAGGTATAGGAAACGTGAAATCGCAGTAGCGAAATAAATTACAGTGGACTCTAACTATATTGCCACTAAACATATTGTCACGCGAAGTACTTCCCCTTCACACGTACTTTCGAGCACAGAAATTCGCTCTGTCACCACGTTCCGTTCGCCGGCGCACCAGCACGGTCCAACTTTTGCGCATGGGCTGAGGGTATGACAATAGAACTTAGCATGGAGGGGCCTCAGAACTCATTGCCATTTTACTCCCTTACAGCCCTGACCATGGCAATGTAGTTAGAGTCCACTGTAGCTGTATAGAAGCAAACTGAATGGATTTCCCATTTTTTTTTCTTTTTTTTAAGGTGGTAAGGGCGGATTTGAAGGAACTGGCAACAATGGATCTGGGGGGAGCGCCGTACGCGTACACCCCGTTCTGCGACAGCAGGAAAGAAATGGATGGATTCCGATTTTGGAAACAAGGATATTGGCGAAATCATTTGCAGGGCCGAGCTTACCACATTAGCGCCTTATACGTGGTAGACTTGAAACGGTTTCGACGGATCGCCGCTGGCGACAGATTGAGGGGCCAGTATCAAGCGTTGAGTCAAGATCCAAACAGTCTGGCCAATCTAGACCAAGTGCGTGCGATACCGACACCGATATCGTTCTACCGAACAATTCCCTTTTTTCTCGATGTTATTGACATGTATTGTTCTTTTCTTATCGCTTCAGGATCTTCCTAATAACATGATCCATCAAGTGGCTATAAAAACGTTACCGCAGGAGTGGCTGTGGTGTGAAACTTGGTGCGACGATACGTCCAAGAACTACGCGAAAACCATCGATTTGGTAAATGGAAACACGTAACGTTAAATAGTGCCAGAGCCCCTGTCGGCGGTTCTGACAAAAACATATGTAAAGCGTTCGGGGGGCTAACATTCGATTTGTAACTGACATAATCTTTAAACGGCAGTGCAACAATCCGATGACAAAGGAAGCTAAATTACAAGCTGCCGTCCGTATTTTGCCAGAATGGGTGGGATACGACGACGAGATAAAAGCTTTGCAACAGAAACTGGACAATGAGAATCGACAAACGGAAAAAGAAGAGCATGGTATATTTCGTGATTTTCACTGGTATAGATCGCACGTCCGACGGTCCACAGTTATCATTCGTTGTTTTGTTTTCCCGTTTGTTTTAGAAACTTTTGAGGAGGACGCCACGGATGGTGATTCCGCGAAACACGAAGAGCTGTGAATGAAGTTTGCGCGTAAGCCGTGAAAAGGTATTGTCGAAGGTTAAGGCGATCGATCGTTATTGAATGAAATGTTATCGACAAAATTATCGACGTTAGGAAATGTTGAATGGCCGCGATTAACGATATGGCAACGTTGGTATTCCGTCCGGTACTATCTGTGCGTAATCGCTGTGTAACCGGAACATTCTATTCTACAGTCGTTTACATGTTTCGCCGCGGGATAACACCAAATCATCGACCAGTAATAAAACAGAGTAAGAAAGTAAAAAAGAAAAACAAAATTTTCATAGGATTTTCTGGGTCCGTCAGTCGTCTTAAGGGTAAACACAGCGATCGTTGGTCGCGGTATCATAGGTTGGTTGTCCTAGACCACGGATCTACGTTCGTGATGCGAATGCGATTGTGATTTTGTATCGTCTAATGCATAGGTGTAAGAAATAAACTCGTAACGTTTCTAACTGCTTTTCACGAATACTCATTCCTTTGAACGAACGCTCGACCAGGGATTAAGATTTTTTGTGGCCCAGGGCTATCAGATTTTCGGGGGCCCCCTTGATTCAAAAACGAGGGTAAGAGGATTTTATGTAATACAGCACAACAAAATACATAACTCTTCAAAAATTGAAATTTAGTTTAAATAAAATTACATAACATGTAGTCATAACGAAATGGAAGGTTCAAAATGGGGCCCCCTCGAACGTGGCTACAACCCCTGTAGACCCTCCTCGATGTCTGAAGTTTTTCAAACAGTATTTCAACTTTCCAAGCCATTCGTCCAAGTGACTCGAGGTGATGGGACTTCGCACAGTTCTAAAACCAAAATGTTTGAACGATCCATTACTTATACATATATGGGGCCCGGGGCTACAGCCCCTCTAAACCGCTCCTAGATACGGTGCTGACTACTTTTGATACTCTTGACTCGAAGGGGTGTAAAAGAAACAGCGTGAAATACAAACTTCTCGTGAAAGATGCTCTACACGGTGGTTCGAGGACAAAAATCGATAGATAAGACAGCGACTCGACGACAATTGGCAAACTTGTATTGATATCGTAGGAATAGACTATTTGGTTTACAACTAATGACCTCTTTCACCGATAGAAAATCAATCTAATTTCGTCCCGACTGGTCGACACCGCGCGAAGAAATTTAACTCACGCGTTGTTTTTCTACGACGTAGTCGTTATTGTTTGTCCGAATCGGAAGAATCGTGTAATTTGTGTGTCAATACGAACAAGGAACCGACGTCTGGAGCAACGATGGACGCAGCTGCTCGACGCGATCGAATAACGTACGTAACACCAGTGTGTCTTTGTGTAAGTTTACGGAAGTGTTGGGAAAAATGTATTCTAATTACAAAACCTAAGTGGCAATTACAATGTAATAACAGGACAATTACATTTCAATTTTACAATTACATTGTAGTTTTTATTGTAAATTTAGTATAGTTAATTACAATGTAATTGTCTTGCAATTATATTGCGATTATTTTGTAATTGTGATTTTGATTTTGTAATCAAATTACATTTTGCCCAACTCTGGGTCACGGAAGAGAAGAGAGTTTTCCGTTCGTCAACGGCTACGTTTTCGTTCGATTTACCAAAAGCACAACGAATCGAGCGATGAGTTTCCGTTTAATATCGCGGCTGCATGATATCCTGACCACGTTCTCCGGGATCGTTGTCGAGGCAATCTATTCACGGGTTCTCGCATTTAATAAACATACAACTCGCGTAAAAACAGATACTAAGCGAATCCGGTAATCAATGTTTTTATGTCCCCTGTGTTATCCATGTATTCATTCGTGTGTTCCACGTATTCGTGTAAATACAAATACACCCGTACGTATTATTAAATGGAATTGTAACTCGCTTCGGAGTAACACTATTGTTTCCGTGCCCGCGATCCTTCGAACGTTATCTCGTTTCATTACCTACACATGTATACCCACTCGTACCGTCTCGATGTATAAACGAAGTCTGTGCAGTAGGTAATTCAAAGATTAATTCGTTCGACCGAAGACGAAAGATCGACGAATTATTCCAGCGCGGCAGCGGGAGTGTTTACAGATATTCCTACTAACAAAGCAAGCGAGCGGTATACGTACGGCATGCGAAACGAATTAATGTGTGATTGCTACTAATAACAACAATAAGAATCGATAAGTATTTCCGAGAATATATCGAGAAAACGAAGTGGGAACATCAGTTGGAAAATACGTCTCGACGTTGATGACAAAATTCATCGGTAGCGCGCATAAGAAAGTACACTTTTGAACGGAAACAAACGAAAGGAAGTATCCGCGGCGATACAGTAAGGCAGGAACGAGACGGAAGATCGAGTACGGGGGGCAGATAGCCCAGATAGGAAGTTCGAAAGGCAGAAACAGATAGAAGAAGCTGGCGATGGTGGGAGAAAGCGGGGATGGATGAGATTGGTCGCAGGTGGCCGACGAAGGGCGGGGCGGAGAGGAAGGAACGGATCTGATGTAGCCGGAGGGGCAAGGAAGAGAGCGGGAATCGGCAAGGAAACTCATCGAGAGTTCAGCTATCTGGTAAAACAAACCGAGTAGACTGGACAGAGGGTTTTCTACTAAAAGACACGGACGGCATGAAGCGGCAGGCGGGATTTGTTGTTTATGTAACTAGTGACGAGCGGGCAGTCAATCCGTCGCGTCTGTTGGTCGCCGGTCAATCGGGAACGTAAATCCCTCTCGGACCCGATTTTGGTGTTCGTTCGACCGTCGCGCCCCCTTCCTTGCATCTCCGTTGTTTTCGTCTTCGTACCTCTTCGGTTTCTCTTTTCCATATTTTCGATCGATCCATCGGGTCGAATCGATCGTCCGTTGGCGAGCCTCACGATCAGGGACTGTCCGCTGCGCAACGCTGCAAGGATCATGGTCGACGAGAGGATAAAACTGTGAGTTCGAATATCTATCCGTCCGTTTCGATCGCTCGATCGGATCGCATCCCCACCTATTTCCCACCCGAGGAACCTGATATACATAAGCATGCACGTATGTATACTCACCTGCAAACTTGGCTTCCACTAGTGGCAAAAATTACGTTGGGGAGGGGTCTCCTACCATTTCGTATCGGAAACTATTGAAATGTATGCGGAATTAACATTCGATTTGACATTTATTTCGGTACTTGAAATAAATTTACCAAGTGGTAGAAGGCCATTCTCCTACGTTATTTTTTCCCCTAGTCAAGTTTGCTCGTAGGCTGTGTATATTACATACGTATAACGTAAAAAGTTTAAACAGTTAAACATATGTTCGAACGTGGCGACACTCTGCGTCTGAAGTTTTTCAAATATTTCAACTTTCCACGCCATTCGGCCAAGTGATTCGAGGTGATGGGACTTCGTACAGTCCTAAAAGCAGTCACGAAACATCGCGACAGAAGTCCAAAAATGTTTGAACGATCTACAGAACCATCACTCCTTACCCGTACCAAAGACCTCTGTCTAACTAACCGATCAGTCACCTGCAGTGTTCACGCGAGAAATCGAGAAAAAAGAACGTGATCAAGTATCCGATCTGACATACGTTCCAAGCTGTACCGAATGTTTTTCTGTTTATCGGCTTTCCTTTCGTTCGGGATTCGATTAAAAACACATGCCTCGTAATCCCTTACAACTGCTTAGGCGCCACCGGAGTTTTCGTGATGACTCGTGTTTACTACTTACATGTATATGTGTAGATACGTATCTATATACATACGTAACCATGTTTACCGTACAATTTCTCGGTTCTTCCTCTTCCGTTCTTTTTTATATTACGCTTTACCTACACCTGGATTCTCCCGGCAACATCTTCTACCTTTTTATTGTATAAATTTCGCCTGGAATCCTAACACCGGAGCCAATAAAACTCGAGACACGGATCGAATTACAATCATCGACGGTCGGTCGTCGTTCGTGCGGTTAATTTTATGTTTAAACGACGATGACCTCTGTCCACTAACTCGATTACTCAGAATCCACGTATGTATACTCACGAGCAAACTCGGTTTCCATTAGAGGAAAAAGCAACGTAGAATAAACGTCTCCTACACTTGGTAAATTTATTCCCGGTACTGAAATAAATGTTAAATCGAATGTCAATTTGGGCATAAATTTCACAAACTTCCGAATTGAATGGTACATAGAAGGCCCTACGTTAATTTTTCCCCTAGGGGACCGCTCCTTACTACTTTGTATCGGGAATTACTAAAATTTATGCCAAATTAACATTCGATTTTACATTTATTTCAGTACCTGGAAAGATTATTAAGCCGAGTTTGCACGTCAGTGTACGTGTTTGCTGTATCTTCTTTTTCGGTGCATCGGTCTCTCTGTGTGTAGGAAGAAGAGATAAAGAACACGGGTATCTTGAGGGCAAGAGGAAACGCCAAAGAGGCGTCATGCGATGCGTTTCGTGTGTCGACTCCAGGATGTCGCGCGTGTACTTGTGCTCCGCTACGTCTGCCGCCACTTTTTTCCCCCCCGTTTGCATCAACACTATTTTTGCACACGGTGTGTTATCGGTCTACTTGTCCCCGCAAATACTCTGGACAAAAGAAAATTATCGTGCTCGATAACGATCTAAGGAACGCGGGTTTGTACTTACTGTATCTTATTGTCGGATAACGAATTACGCTACACCGATAACGTTCCCGTCGTCCTCGACGGGAAAGTCACGTAAACGCGATCACGTTTACGAGATTCCGTATGTATGTACCTACTGACTTCCTATCTCGCCGGAACGATCCTTCCGCGTTTTCGAGGACAAACCACGGCCGACGATTCCCCCGCCTGCGTACCGATCTAGGGAAACTGGAACTACCCAGCGCCGGAATAAGGGGAGGTCTAGGGGGGTCTGTAGTCCCGGGCCCCACCTTCCAGGTGAGCCCCGTTCTGAAGCTTCCATTTCGTTATAATTATATGTTATTTAATTTTAATTAAAAGATATTTCAACTTTGGAAAATTTATGCATTTTGTTGTGCTGTATTAGAAAAAATCCCCTCAGCCTCGGCTTTTAAGCAAAGAGGCTCCTAAAAATTTGATAGTTCTGGGCCACAAAAAAATCTTAATCCGGGCTCTATTTTCAAGGGGGACCCCGATCTAAGCCTTCTAGGTGCATTATATAATTTTCAACCAAGGGGCCCACGAAGGTTGAATAGCCCCGGGTCCCAAGAAAACATAATCCGGGCTTTAAAATTAATAAACCATAATTAATATCCGGCTATACAATTAATAAATCAGATTTCTAATGCGGGTACCAGAATTCTATTAGTCATCGTAAACAACGGTCTCTATGATATCCAACGGACACATGCGTAAAATTGATATTTCACGTTACTTAATTGTTATTCCGAAAAGCGAACTGATTCGTTTTTTGGATAGTGGCGGTCACGGTCACGGTCACGGCCCAATATCGCTCAAAGCGTACATATTCCCATTTCGATGCACGTCTGCGTCGCGCAGCGAATTTATCGTGATTTCTGTCAGCGTTTCATTCTAGTGATGGGCACCATCGACTAAATTGAACTATCGACTAATGACTATTTAGTCGCAACATACTATCAACTGAAATTTTGCTTTATAAGTTATGTATAACTTATGTCGTCGTCAACTTTTCAGCACCATTGGTGTATTTACCTTTTAGAAATGTATTAGTTCATAGATAGAATTTCAAAAATATAAGTGGTAAACAAGTTTTTTATACAATTACTAATATTCGATTTTTTGTAAGCTATTTAATATTGGGACTTAAAAAATTAAGCAATAATTTGCACAGTTCTTGGTAATGCATGAAAAAATATATCAAAAAATTGCAATTGGTTTGCATCACCAAGAAAATAATCAAGATCCAGTCAATTGCGATCAATAGCTCGATAGTTCGAGTGAGTCGCTTGAAGCAACTAAATTTAATCAACTAAAGTAGTCGCTCCAAGCGACTAATATTACTCTCGCCTGAAAGTAGTCAACGATTGAAAAAATTAGTCAACTGACATAGTCGTTAGTTACTATCGACTTAGCCGATGGTGCCCAACACCATTTCATTCCACGTTCTCGCGTGGAGATGCATTTAATCGCCGCGCATAGTACCCCCCGACGGCATTATATCGCGTGGCAAGTTAACGCCAAGTCGTGTCGGTCACGGTCTCCATACACAAAGCAACACGAGACGCGAGCAAGCACGTGGCCGCACACGGGAACAGAAATTTGAGCGACGATGGAAAATCGTGAAACGCAGGATTTCTCGTGGAACGACACTCGGTGCGTTCCGTCGTATCGCTTCTCGTACAGACGACTAAATCCACCATGGTTTTCTGTCTTCCGTGTTCGACACGCGAAACGCCGTATAATGTACCAAGACGAAAACATTAGACGCAGTGTTGGTAATGGTATTCGATGTTTCGCAGATTCCAAGACAAGGCCGTGTACGGATACGGGACGAGCATACCACCGAACAACAACGAACCCGAGGAGAATGACGCGACGTCGCCGAGGCAAGTGATTTTCTGCGTTCACGGGAAACTATCTGGCTGCTGCACGGTAGTGAAGACCGGTTCGATCGACGAAACCGCGGCCACTGATTACCGAGAAAATGCTCCCAGTAAGACTCGACGCGTTGTTTGCGAAACCCATTTGGATTCGTTTCCACATAGAGCACAATATACATATGAGTATTCATAGATATACGTATATAGGATGTCTCAGCTAACTTGATCACCTCGAATAGTGACTTAACAGTTAAGTTTCACGTCTTAAAATTTTCATAAAGTGTACCGTTCAGTCATTATTCGAGGTGATCGAGTTATCCGAGACACCCTGTATATGTATGTATGCAAATTATTATTGCTATACGTCTAATCCGATTCGTATGTTTTCATAGCCGTACCAGAAGACCATTGTCACAGAGAAAGAAACGACGCGATCGATAAAAAGGCAAGAAAGAAATTACTGCTCGCTAGTGTGCTATGCGTGATTTTTATGATAGCAGAAATCGTAGGTAATAAACTACATACAGACGTACGAGCTGAATATACAATTTACATGTCGAAGGCGATCCGACGATTGGCGAGACAAGCGATTTCTCAACGAAATATGATGATTGTTCGTTTTTCAGGTGGAATATTGTCGAACAGTTTGGCGATCGCAACGGACGCAGCTCATCTCTTAACCGATTTCGCGTCGTTCATGATATCGTTGTTCTCTATATGGGTCGCGAGTCGGCCAGCAACGAGAAAAATGCCGTTCGGATGGTACAGAGCGGAGGTATGTGTTGTTCGTAGAACAGTAAACTGTGTGTTTTGTTCGTTTTTTCTCTCAAGGCTAATTCGATTGAATCGGTTCAGGTGATTGGAGCTTTGACCTCGGTATTACTGATATGGGTAGTAACTGGAATACTGTTTTACCTAGCAGTCGAGAGGATCATTCACAAAAATTTCGAATTGGACGCCACCGTAATGCTGATCTCGTCCGCCGTTGGCGTTGCGGTAAATCTAGTGTCAGTGATACGTATATACGTGTATACGATACAGGGTGGATCGGAAATCGCAGTACAGTAAATCCTCGATGAGTGTTCGAAGGCTCCACGGACAAGGAGAGGTTTCCAGGTGTAACGCTGTGTTTTTAATGAGGGTTAGCACGGTGACGAAAGCGAAGCTTTAGATGAACAAATTTTATACCATGTTTTGTTCTTATTTTTTCATGTAGAATTCCTCCTTTACCGGTTGTACTACGATTTCCGACCCACCCTATATCTGGACCCCAGCGTGTGTTAAGTCACAGTTTTCAAACTTTACAACTGTAAGAATGAAAAATTTGATACAAGAAACATGTAAAATGACATTTTTTTCAAAAGTGGACTTAATACACTATGGGGTCCAGATATAGACGGTGAATTCCGTTGAATTGTTAGTTCTTAGAATCCACGAAATATTTTTCCTTACAGGATGGGTCTGTCGTTACACCAACACGGCCACGGTCACAGTCACGGACACGCGGCTACGGAAAAATCAAGTCAAATTGAAAATGCAGGGATAATCGACATGGAAGACTTCGATCACGATAGGAAAAACATCAACGTACGTGCCGCTTTCATTCACGTTCTGGGAGACTTCATTCAGAGCATAGGCGTCTTCGTGGCTGCGCTAGTCATTTACTTCAAGGTATACACGGGAACTTATCGCGTTGGTTTCGCTGGTAATTTTACCAGTTGCTGTCACCCTACAACCTGTGTCGCTTTTTCAGCCGACTTGGAGCATCGTAGACCCAATTTGTACATTTCTATTTTCGCTGCTGGTCGTATTAACCACGGTTGCCATAATCAAAGATGTGATGAACGTTCTAATGGAAGGTATTCCGAAGGGATTCGATTACTCGCAAGTGGAGAGCACCTTTATGCAGATTGATGGTGTCGTGAAGGTGCATAATCTTCGTATCTGGGCGCTGTCATTGGATAAGACTGCGTTGTCCGCCCACCTCGCGATAAGTAAGCAACAAAGCTAACTGTGAACACCAGCAATTCGAACCTAACTTGTTTCAAAGTTTAACGCATAATTTTTTTTTATTCTTTCAAGAACCAGGTACGAGCCCACAAGATATATTGCGCACTGCGACGAGAAACATCCACGACAAATACAGATTCTTCGAAATGACGCTACAAATAGAGGAATTTAACGAACGAATGGAGAACTGCAAACAGTGCAAAGCGTTGTCCTAATAGTTGTCGCCACTCGGTGGGCTTTCTATATTGTTAGCCACACAGCCAACAATCCATACAAAACGCTACCAGGTCGTAGTGCCAATCGTATGTGCGCACACGCGCGCAATTCCGACAATAACAAGTGATGTCTCTATCTCCTTTCCAACGACCGACAATCGAGAAAAATGAAACCTTATTCCTCTCGCAGACAACCAGCAAAACTATTCACTCGATCGTTTCCTTTCATCTTGTATCGCAACGATTTTAACTTGGTCGGTTTTACAAGTCATCGTGCAGTACTATCGTTATTTATTTCAACAAAGGCTCTTGGTAAAGCCATCGAGTAAGCAATGCACGCTCAAGAAATAGTTTTTACAATTACTCGTTTCGACAGCGAGAAGGATCGATGAGAAAATGGTCGAAACATAAGAAAAATGAATTCCGTGTGCTATGGAACTGAGTCGATTTATTTATTTCCTGAGGCGAAACCGATTTTAAATTACGACTAACGGTTAACCTTTACTCGTAGTACATCGTTCATAATCTGTTTACTTGTAAGTTTGTTTTCGTTACAACCATAAACGTATATACGTCTATAGTTACCATAGACATAGGCCGGGATTCATACTATGAATCCCGGCCATATAAATATAATAAATATAATATTTCTATGTCTGTTATCGTTACAACCATGTTGCAACGCGGCGCAGTTGTTGCTTTGTTAGGATTTTGAAAGAACCGCCGAATGAACGATCGATAGAACGTATTCGTCAGATCGTGACTTGTCGCGGCAATATATCCAGTATATCGGCAACTTCGCATCGGACATATTCGTTGACCATAACCTCACCACAAACGATTGCTTTAGTTTACGAAATCTACTGTTCACTAGTTGTCAAACCGGTAGCAATGTCGGATGAAAATATATCTGGCTCAAGAAGCGATGTGGCAGATGTTGCAACGCTGTCGGAATTGTTCGATAAAGCGTTCAACTTATTCAACGAGCTAAACAAAACAGACGAACCAACGAATAGCTCAAAAATTCAGGTACCGTACGCGAAACTTATATGCAAGCTTGTCACGACGATTCTATTCACGAGATACGTAAAGTCACAATGATCCTTGGGATTGTTCTCGAAGGTTTCACGCGTGACTCTTGAACAAGTACTCCAGCAAACATATTCAAACGTTTCTCATTTTTCACTTCGACTTATTGACATGTACTTTTTCTTATTTTTTACTTTCACGTTTGCACGATAGTCGGACGTCAAACGAGCTATGAACATGTTCGAAGATGCGACAAGACTAGTCTCCGTAGTTGATATGTTCAGCAAAAATGAGAGCTTCGACGAAGTGCCAACGGAGAACATCAAGTACTTTTTATTGCCAGCCTTCCTCGGTACACTAGCTACAAAAATTTGTAACGTGGACGATCGACTGCATATTGTTAACGTCGCTGAAATTTATTTCGTGGACTTTTTGAAACGCGTCAAAGCTTATGGTTTGACGGATGTCAACGTGCCAGAAATCAAGCCGGATCAGGACAAGGAACATGATTCCGAGAGGAGTCGGTCGAACGCCGAATTAATTACAAGCATGGTATTCTCGGCTGAAATTTTTCAGTTTTGTCCGTTTTAACTGCTGCTAATGCTTGATGTTTCCTAGGTAAGTCGCAGAAATACAAAATTGCAGAGATACAAAGAGAAAAAAGAACTGGAGTCTCGTTTAGAGACTCTGCAAAAGCATCTGTCCAATCCGAATATCGACGACGAAGTTAAGCGCGACTATTTCGTAACGCTCATAAAATTATACATAAACTTGGCGATAGAAGAACTGGGCATGTTAGAGACGGAAAAACCGATTCTCGAGCACATGAAAAATATGGGGAAAGACGAAACTATGGCCTCTCAGTCCTCCCGAAAGCACAAGCCTACCGCAACGAAGTTACAACCGATCATTATTACACGGGACGAAATGCAAAAGAAAGTATACGGAGCTGGCTATCCCAGTTTACCCGTTCTTACCGTTCAAGAATTTTACGATCAGCGGGTGAAAGATGGAGAGTGAGTACAGTATTCTGTGTCGGTATCCGTTGATTGCGAACTCTAATAACGTTAATTGTTTTTTTCTTGAAGCTGGCCGGATCCATCGAAGCAAAATAATAAAAATTGTTTGCAAGACATGACAAGTAGAAATGAAAACGACGCTGATCGAGAGGACACTAAGGAGGAACATTTAATTGAAACGGATGATCCCGAGAGATTGGAACAACTACGTGCCATGGATGAGTACAAAGATACGCACAGGAGAGGATGGGGAAACCGTGCGAATAGAAGTTGAATATAATAAGAAAAGAAAAAAAAAATAGAAGTTGATCGCGAAACCACGAGACAAGTTTACGAACATCGAGATTGCCTAGTCGATGTATTTTATATGTACTTCTTGTTAAACGTTCTGTTTCTAATGTGTACATTTTCCAGACTCATGATGAGATTATGTTGAGAATTACCTTACAAATAAAATTTATCTCTTTCTTTTAGATCTGTGTTCCAAGTTTCTGACACAAGCGCTGAGTACACGTGCCACGTGATTAACTATGAAACTTCGCCACAGACGAGGTGTAAGAATAGACCCAACAATCAATGTATTTTTGTGGCCTGATTTTTCAGGGCCCAGCATCTCAATCCGTTTCCATTTCAAGGCAATTGTTGTGCAATTTATTAAGATACTATTGTAAATTGTGTATTTTCTTCAGATTTTTTCAATAAAAAACTGTTAAGTGGTACATATGCGTTGTTTATTAAGCCTATCACTACGACAATCCAATATTTCCTATAAATAAATAAATAGTTATTGGTAAATTTAGTGGAAACTGCGTTAAAAATAAAATTAGAGTTCAATTTAGTGCGAAATTGTGCTTAAATCTCAATTTTTGCCGCGCTTTTTGCAAAATCCAAGATGGCGGGATTATGGCTAGCAGTTTCAGCGATTCGCCACGGATGGCGCCACCGGTCGAAAAATAGTGGTAATCCGTGATTAAATGCGATTTTAACAGTGTTCTGGTTGTTTATTGCTATTTTCAATGACAGGGGATTAATCTACGTTCTTTCAGCTATAAATCGAGTATTTTATCTAGACGAAACTTATCCGTATAACGGTGTAAGAACTATTCAAAATGAACTAACCCGGGTACGCATGACGCAATACAGTGTCAACTGTTGCAAACAAATGTGATTTTAACAATGTTCTTGTAATTACTAGTGTCCAGCCGTTAGAGAATAGTAATCTACGTTCTTTAAACGTTGTATCTAATGCAAAACGAAGAAGAATCATGCCCGTTTAGCGGTGTAAATGCGATCGAAATATTTTGCAATCAGGTTGTCGTCCCATAAGAGGTTACGGTAATACAGGCATAACTAATTTTATTAATTCAGAGGTTCTGCACTATTGGGTCCATGCATTAAGTCCTGAGGGACAATTTGACACTAATGACGTTCATTTTAAGTACTTAATTACTGAGATATTTGCATTTTTCCATCACTAGAAATTTTCACTCACCTGTCGGTATAATTTGGCTAGCAGTTTGAGCGAATTGTCACGAGTGGCGCCACCGGTCGAAAAAATAATGGTATTCCGCAATTAAATGCGACTTTGACAGTGTTCTGGTTGTTTATTCTTATTTTCAATGACAGGAGATTAATCTACGTTCTTTCAGCTTCAAACTGAATGCTTGGTCAAGACGTGACCTGTCCATATAACGTTGGAAGAGCTATTCAAAGTGAACTAACCGGGGTACGCATGACGAGATACAGTGTCAACCGTTGCAAGCAAATGCGATTTTAACAATGTTCTTGTAATTACTAGTGTCAAGCCGTTAGGGAATAAAAATCTACGTTCTTTCATCGTTGTATCTAATGCAAATCGAAAAAGAATCATGCCCGTATAGCGGTTTAAATGCGATAGAAACTTTTTGGCAACCGGATTGCCGCTCCAAATTATATCGACAGGTGAGTGAAAATATCTAGTGATGGAAAAATGCAAATATCTCAGTAATTAAGTACTTAAAATGAACATCATTAGTGTCAAATTGTCCCTCAGGACTTAATGCATGGACCCAATAGTGCAGAACCTCTGAATTAATAAAATTAGTTATGCCTGTATTACCGTAACCTCTTAT